ACTCTAGAGGATCCCCGTGGTGGTAAGCTCCACGAAGATCGCTGGGCTTTGACTGGCGCCGAAGGGAAGGGAGACCCATCGCTGCAGCGCGCCGGTGGAGGGGTGCCAAAAGGCCATGAATCGGCGCGCCTCTGGTGCCAGCTTGACGTGGTGGAATCCGCTCGCCAGGTCGCGTTTCCCCAGAAAGCCGTTGGCTGGCAGCTGTTCGAGAAGTGTGGCGAGATCGGGGAGCGGACAGGGGAGCTTGGTCATGCACTCATTGACCCCAGACCGAGAGGGGTCGGTTATGGGACGGATGGAGCCATCTGGCTTGAGGACGACGTGCAGGGGGTTGACGACGGTCGCGAAGTCGGTCTCGGGGCCATGCATGCTGGGGTCATATTGCTCGGTGACGCCGGAAGCCAGGAGGCCGTCGAAGTGCTGGCTCATGTCGGCGAGGTGCAGGAGGATAGAGGGATAGTTACGGAGGTGGTGGGACGGGTTAGGCTCCGTGTGGAATGTCCAGACGGCCGCGTTGCGGGACGCTGGCGTATCCACTCCATACCGCAGCCATGCCTCGGTGACGAGCTTGCTGCCCGCCTGCCCGAACCAAGGGCGTCCCGGGGCCAGATGGAGCGGTTCGGGGACCATGGCCGCCGCCACTAAGGCTGACGCCTGTGCTACCACTGCTGCAGCGGCCTCTGCAGCCACTGCGTCGGAGACCATCTCAAGTTGCTGCGGAGGCGCGGGGCCCGCACGTTGGGCAGCGACGTCCGCTTGTTGTTGGGCGCCGGCCGCCTTGATGGGTATGCCCCCAGGCCCCGGCCGCTCCTGTGGCGTTCCAGGGAGGGGGCAAGCGGCGGCCGGCGCCTCCGTGACCTATGCTGAAGCTGGTGCCCCGCGGGCGCCCGCCCGCAAGCGCGCCCGAGCCTTGTCAACCGCTGCCTGCTGCTGGTCCCGGGGCATGGCCTGGAGTTGTGGGCAGTTTCGAAAGCGGTGGCCCCGCTGGTTGCAGATTAGGCACGTGATGTCCTCGGGGCCCTCTTGAGGGCCCCCCTCGGGGGGCAATGTGGCGGCGAAGGGCCGCTTGGAGCTGGGCCGGCTGGCCGACTGAGTCTGTCCTGTAAGCGCCGCGCCCAGGTACGCCCGCTGCTCGGAGGAGAGAGAAGCGAGGCAGGCGACGAGGGAGGTCTTGCGCGGGTCCCCATCCCTTGCCAGGCGGATGACCTCTTTGTAGGGCAGCAGCTGTGACATGTCGTTGAGCTGCTTCTGGGTCTGCTGCGCCTCGGATGCTGTCTTGTAGTGCTGCGCCACCTGCACGGCCAGCTGCGCCCGTGCTTCGGGGTCCTGTGTCCCGTCGAACTCTGCTGCAGCCGCCTGAGCGGCCGCAATGTTGTGGTTGACGGCGCGGTTGGCATGACTGTTGAAAGCTGACTGGTCGGACGCCAGGCGCTGTCCTCCTGCCGCTTTGAACATCGATCCCCACACCGGCACGGCGTCCAGGACGTCCTCCCTGTCTGCTGCGAGGCTGAGCATATCGCTGAAGGGTCCCAGCAAGCCAGGGGCAGCGGTCAGGTCGGCTGCCAACAGGCCTCCGGTGGTGGCTTGGCCCAGCGCGCGCTGGAGGGGTGTGTTGGAGAGGTGTGGCGGGGGGGACGCATGCCGAGCTACTACGATGCCAGCCTGTTGAGGGGCCTCGGGTCGAACGGCCGCTGGAGGGCGGGGTGCCGGCCAGGCGGTTGCGGCCGCCTGGGTAGGAGCTACGCCGTGGGCGGGCTGCGTCTCGATGTTGCCGATGATCGTCCGCGCCAGCTGGTTGTACCCACCGTTGTCGACTAATGTTTCGAGGTCGGATCCCGCCGGAACCCGAGCCCCCTGCGCTCCGCCCTCCGCGGTGCCCTGGGCACGACCGTGCTGACCCGGCCCACCCGAGCCCCCCGGTCCCGCGTTGTCCAACGCGGGGAGCTCACCTGCGTCCTCCTCGACCACATTTGGGAGGGGGTGCCAGCCTTGCGGCGGCACGCCAGAGACGAGCTGAAGTTTACGCTCCTGGATCGCGAGCCGAGCGGCATCACGAGTCTTCAGGTCCGTGAAGGACGGGTTGGCTCGAAGGAGCCTCGAACGCTGAGCCTCATACTTGCGCCGCGTAGACTCGATTTTGGCCGTGTGGGCCTCTTTGGCTGATTTCGAGGCTCGCGCGGGCAGATGCTGTTCCTGCTGTCCGAGGTCTGTCGCCAACGCTTCGTCGATGGCCAGGACGTCAAATTCACACCGCTGACCAAAGGACAATAACAGCGGCAGCTAGCAGCTGTTCTGGTACAGAGGGCTCGTATCAACTAGTAGCCGAGTCCGAGATCGCCCGGAAGATAATTCGACAAGACTAAACACCGCCGATCAAATAGCAATTCAAAACAACAACCAACTAACTGCACCGTACGACGCCGCTCTGACGCCCCTCTTCAAACCACATTTTCGGCTATGCCTAAAATAAGATGTTTATTCGGCAGAGTACGACCGGACACATTTGTGCGAAGGGGCTGCTTAACGAGCGGTCAGCAGAAATGAGGCTCACAACTATAGATCGTAAACAGTAGCTGGACCTCAGAGCTCAGCAGCCCTTGCATCGGTTGCGAAAGCGCTACTTTACAGTGTCGCCTAGCGCGCCCTGCGCGCAAGCCATGGACCAGGAGGCCCAGGATGCCATGCTGATTGTACATCTTTCAGAAGCATTCAATAAGGACGAGGTGTGGCAGCTGGCCGCCGCAGAAGCATGGAGCAAGGCCACGAATCTGGAACGTGTGCTAATTCGCGGTAGCACAGAGGCCAAACAGCTGAAGCTCGTGGATGTGCTTATCCGTAAAAGTAGGTCATGCACTGGGAGCTGAGAAGGCTTGAAGTGTCGGGAGGCTCTGTGTTGCTGGGTGATCTCGTGCCTGAAACTTGAAACAACTCGTCACACGGGTCCCCCGACCGCTCCCATGTCCTGCAGCCTCGGCGGCTGGCCTCGGTGCGGGGAGCGCGGCTGGAGCCGGTGAGTTGGTTGTGCTAGCCCAGGCTTGACCTGACCTAAGACTCCGGCTCTAGTGTCCCGCGGCAGTGTAGTACGGAAGTGTTTGAGCTATCGTGAACAGCGCTGCTGCTGAGGAGGAAATAATATTCTCCAAGGGTGTATAACGGGGCCACTAGGCAAACGAGCCGAGGGCCCAAGGGCCAGCCAAAGGCTGTCCGAAACAGGTAGATGCCATTAAAACGTTCAAGAAAAAATAATATCCTATACACTCTGTGTGTGCAGGCTCCGTCTACAATGCCACCCTGACCGCCTTCATCCAGGCGCTGCAGAACGCTGAGGTTGAGGACATCGGTGATGGCATGTCCCTGCTGTCGTTCGACTCCAACACATTCTTTCCAGATGACCTCGAGCGATGCCACCATGCCCTCATGGTCCGCGACATTTTCCCCACCCTTTTCAAGCGGCTTCAGCAGCAGAAGGCGTGGCTCCTGACTGGCGTCCCTGGTACTGGCAAGTCTTGGTTTGTCTGGTACGCAGTGTACAGCCTGCTACAGCTGAAGGACCCCCCCTTAATCGTCTGGCAGTCTCGCAAATACAATTCGCGGCGATGTGTCCTCTTCAAGGCCGGCAAGGCTTACGTTGGTGATGACGACAGCTTCATGGAGGAACTTGAGCAGGAGTCAACCTGGTAAGTGCCGCCTTTGCATAGCTTCATATTGGGGGGGTAGGGCTTGAAGGGAAAAGGCTTTCGGTGGGAGCATGCATGGCAAGCAACGCAGCTGGAGGGCCTCTTCAGCACGTGTAGGTGAAGTGCTCTTCCGCACACAATATCGCTGGTGAATGCATTGGCATGCCGGGGCCGCTGATTAGGGCTTAAGGCGCGCAATTGTTAACGTTCTGGATGTAGTGCTCTGCCAGGTGGATGTGTATTTGTGCGGAGCCAGGCAAGGAAAGCACAACACGAGTGTTGCGCATGTTGGCTACCCTTCCCGTGTGCTCTGTCGAAACCAACGCAACTGATTGTCAGCATCAGCTTCAATGTGCGTGCCTTCATCCTGTGGCCCATAGGTTCCGTGGTGTTGGTGCATGGGGAGGCCTGATGACCGACATGGTCAGGAAGGCAGCATGTTGCATGTCAATACTTGAGCCTTGTATGGTTTTGATCGGGTTAGGACTTGCACGCCAATGCAGTGGGCCTCCCTGATTATGTCATCTGGGGCTGAATTATGAAATGCCCGCGATCGATGCTGCAGGTTCTTTACTGACGGCATCATGCCACCGAACGTCGCGGCTCACACCATAATGATCTGTTCTCCCAAGCTCTCCATTTATAAGGTGTGTACGAGCATGGCCTTGGATGCCTGGACTTCCCCCACACGTGGCCAATGCCATGCGGGCTGATTGGTGGTTCCATGTACAGGAGTGGGTTAAGGGGCGCGATGACATCACACTCACCATGCCGCTGTGGACGTGGCCTGAGATTGAGGCCTGCTGGCAGCGCCTGTATCGCGACAACTCAAAGGTGTGCAGCCTGTGTGCCGTGATGATTGTTAGTACGATATAACGTGGTCGGGCTGCTGTCCGCCACTGGTGATCAAAGCCTTGCCATGTCCATTGCAGCTACCCCTGGAACGTGTGAGGCGCCGCTTCGATATGTACTACGGTGGCGTGCCGCGGCTGGTGCTGGAGTTGCCGTCGCGGCCGGGTTACACTGAGCCGGACGATGCAGTCGTCGAGAGAGCACTCGGCACCACAAGCCTCGAACAGGTGATATGCTGGACGGGGTGCGGATACACATGCAATATTAATGATGACTTTGAAGATGGTATGGAGGGGGGGAAGTGTGTTTGGTTTTGTGTGGTCAAACCTCCACTCTTAGCAGCATGCACTGTGTTACTGTCAATGAATGAACAGGCAGTCATGTGTGGCATTCCACAGCAGATGACTGCAGCCTTATGTCAATGTGTGTGGCGAAGCAGTACTGCATCGACAGAACAGCTATGCGAAATACCACGTTGCTGTGCATTTGTGGATCTGGAACTGTGGATGCTGACGGTGCCAATGCACATACACACATATCTAGTCTTTAAGTGGCGCAGCATGTGCACCATTATGACTGAGGCGCCACCCCTGACATTGGCCAGGTACCTCTCCGAAATATGGGAGGCCAGGCATGTAGCGCTGAGGCGCTTCACCCTGAAATGGATGAGGGAGAATGAAGATGACCTCCCGTGTACCCGCATCAATACCAATACAACATCCATGGCCCCCTCCCCCGGCTTTTATGGACACACCCGCAATTGTGTGCGGAACTTGTAACTTGTAATAGTAACATATCGACCCACCTCCTCATTGCTGCAGCAGCCGCTCACACCACAGACCATATTCTGATCTATAGAATCACTGTGCACGTGCACAGCGATGTAGTGTGCTACATTATGCATCACGATACGGGGGCCCTCTTACAAGGGCCTCACTGTTGAATACTGTACACCTGGCCTTGCATTGGACTGATGCCCCTCCCTTCATCAATGTGGTTTCTCTCGTGCGCCCGCAGGTGATTAATACTGTAGGCTCCTACGATGCCGCCCCGGAGGCCAGCCACCGCATCGTGCACCAGGATGGGGACCGCAGCACATTCAGCCAGCTTGAGTACTGCTTTGCCACTCCCCACGTCGGCAGCTTGTTTACCGAGCGGGTCAGCTCGAAGGGCCTTGGTGCACAGCTGGCGTCTTACACGTCGGATGAAGGTTGCTTCAGCGGCCTCTTTTGGGAGCCCTACGCCCACCAGGCTTACATCAAGGGTGGCGAGTTTGAGTACAAGGTTCTAAGCGTTCCTTGCAGTGTCCCCCGCACGGGCAAGCGGGGCCAGCCCCCGAACGCTGTCTGTGAGGAGAGGGAAATGGCGGTTACTGCAGCTACTGGCGGGAAATCGATGGTGATGACACAGCAGCCGCTCAAGCAGGTGCAGTTTCTGGCGGCAGGCAAACCGGAGGAAATTGACGTTCACTTCAGGGAGGCAGTGGAATCATGCACGGCGCCTGCCTACCTGCGACCGTCCCATGGCCGCCACCCATGCATCGATGCCTGTGTCCTGCCAGACAGGCTGCTGCAGATAACAGTCAGCAAGAAGCGCAAGGCCGTCGACGAGGAAATCCTAGAGCGGCACCTGCAGTGCCTGCCTCCCCGGGACGTGTACTACCTTGATTACGTTGTGCCCGCAAGCAGCTTCCAGGCCTTCAAGGTGCCCGATCTGAAGCGGACTCCAGGATCACGCGTGGCGAAGACGACTCAGCGAGTAGTGAAAATTAACTCCATAAAGTAGCAGGCGGCATCGATGCTCTGTTGCTGAAGAGGTCGTGGTGTGCATGTAGCTGCTGAATATGCATGTAATGTGAAGCATGCCACTGCCAATCGCTCCAAGGTGTTGCAGCCATCCTAGTTGCAAAACTGAGCAATCATCGCGCCCCACCCCCATCAAATGCCCATGAGCAGCATGGGAGTATGTGTGCTACGTACTGATAGGGGATTGCTTCTGTTTTGACTGGGAGGTGGGCAACATATTGAGCCCAACATTGTACCCAACAATCGTAGAGAAGTGGGTGAAGTGATGGTGACTGCAAAAATCGACGCCCGCCGAGCCCGAAGGGCCTGCTGGCTAGTAGAAGCGGCCAAAGAAGCGAGGAAGCTGTGAGTTAAGATTGGTGGCGAAGAGGTTCGCAACATGCGGGCCATAGCGACATTCCAAGAGGCGGAAACGTGCGGGTGAAGGTGGTAATCATCGCGATTTATCAAACGCGGCGCCACATTCAACTAACTAGATACACACTCTACTCGTGCAACAATGCTATGAAGCTGTAAAAACTCTGGTTTATGAATCTTATTAGTTTTGTAGCGGAGCGTTAAAAAAACTAAGGTTTCCTGTGATTTCGGAGTGGATTCTGTACGGCCTGGCGGCGTGCCTGTTGTTGTGCCGCTGTAAGCGACAGCTGTACCCTAGGGTACAGCCCTGAAGCGGTTGGTCTGTAGGCATTGTTCTGTCGCTTCGGGATGTTCCCGTACCCGGCCCTACCCTTTCATGAAGCCTACCTTTAATTGCTTGCAGGTCTTTTCAGTTTGTAGCGGATACTTCTTACGTAAAATCTGAATGCGAGGTCTTTGAGCGTGAATTACTGCCATATCGGCTGTATCGGCGTCGCGGCCTCAGATAGCTTGCATTGCATTGCGGGGTAGCATCATGCTCACGCACCAAAACCAGCCGAGTAGAAAGGACGGGTAACAACTACTACGGGGCATACCTCACTGGCCTCTACTCCCGCCCATTCGTGATCTGCATCTGCGGCTCTCGCTCCCATTCCTTGTACCCCCGATGGCCTGCCATGGAGGGCCCTGATCCAAGGATGACCAGCAGAGGCATCCACTGACAAATTGGCTGAAGCTGGTCCTAAGTGAATGGGTGCGGAACAATGCTTTGCTTGGATGTCCGCCCACCAGTCGCGGTCCCGGCGTGAAGCGCGAGAGGCACGCGCACGACCTGACCAACGCGCCGGTCAGCTAAAACATTATGGAGGTTGCGAAGAAGCAATGAAGTGAAAATAAATGCTAACCGAGCACTATGAGCAAACCCGCAAAAATGAGCAACATAACGCTTCCGAACCATCCGCCGAGCCTTCTTGTTAGCTGTGATCCGAAGCCCAACCGCCAAACGCTTCCGCTTCAATAGCTTCTCCTTGTAACCTCGCAAAAAAACCCTTTACTGTATTAACCGCGATGCCTAGGTGTTGTAACGACTGGACAGGTTCCCAAACACATTAAGAAAGACGAAAAGACAGGTCTCCACCCGGGAGCAGGCCGCCGCTTGCGCAGCTTGGATTAAGCAAGTCCTCGCCGTCTTGGGCATTATTTCCTTTCATCCTGTTTGGGCCGTATATGAACCGTATATGAACCGTACTTGGACCGTACTTGGACCGTATTTGGACCGTATTTGGACGATTTCCTGTTCATGTTCGGAACGCAAACAGGAATCGTCCATATACGGTCCAAGTACATACACAAATGCCGCCCAAATACGCACGTCCACGGACAGACGGGTAGAATTCATGGGGGGGTGCAGGGGGAGGTGTGCGATGCTTCCCACGCCGTGCAGCAGCACGGGATCCCGCCAGGATGCAACGAGATTACGCATGATTCTTGTGTCGTAGTACGGGCTGTTCAACCAACCATAAGGCAAGGCGTTTATATTGTACAAGGCTCCACAGGTATGGAGCGTGAAGAAACAACAATCTGCTATGAATGCAAACAGGACTATGTGTGGTAAAATGCAACCTGCATGTCCGCCTTCATACTCACCTGCCGCACAACCTTCCGCGTCTTGTAGCTGCACCGATAGCCCTTCTGGGCTATGTCCATGTGCTTGAGCTTGACAACCATACGCCAATTTTGCGCTCCCGGTGTAGGAAACTAGGACACATTGCAGACATGCTGCGGGACATCTCCTTCTTCCACGTGGGCAAATGGCGCCCAAAGTGGCCCCCTATGGTTCCCCTTCCAGAGACCACCAGCGCTGTTGTTGCTGCGAAGTAGGGAGAGCCGTGAGGTCGAAGGCGGGTGGATTGCGCCCTCCTACGGTCTCGAAGTAAGGACTCGAACGGAACCCATTCCGATAGTGTAAGCAGCGATTGTCAGTCCCAATAGCCTTCCAGGCTGGGCTGGGCTGGGCTGGGCTGGGCTGGGCTGGGCTGGGCTGGGCTGGGTTGGGTTGGGCTGTCAGCGAAAGTTTACATGCTTGTTTCGCCCGATTGGGACTTGGAATGCCTATGCTTAAATGGGTTTGAATGGATGCCTGATGCGTGTGAGCCGTATACCTAAAACCGCAGCGTAACCAGCTCAGAACTCGAAAACCAGAAACGAGCTTTATATCAACATGTAGGTTTTTTCAAGCCTACGTTCTGTTCCAAACCACGTGAGCCTGGGGTATCCAACTCCAAATCGGGTGAAACAATATTGTACGTGTCCAAAGTGAAAAGACCTATATGTAGCTCATATATGTAGCTCGGGCTTCTTGAGTTCTGAGCTGGTTACGCTTCGTTTTTAGGTATACAGCTCAGACGCATCAGGCTTACAGGATGAAGACCCACCATTGAGAAACTCTAAAATCAAATAATCCTATTCGGGGGCGTATTTTTTCCTGTACCTGATGTTGATACCACCTGCTGCAGCGATACTGCTGATGGCTGTTGGAGCACAGGCTGAGTCCAAAACAGGACCACAATCGACGTGATAGGGCCAGCGGCAATTTTTGGCAATTTCGAAGTTTCAAATCTCGGAGGCAGCAGTGCTCTTAATGGCCTTCATTTGCTTCCCGATGCCTAATTCCAGGCGAAGAGTGGGGAATGCAGACTAGGCTGAACTTAAGTGTCCAACACGCCTGTATCTTTTTTGATGTAACAGGACGTATCCTTCGCACCAGTTGCCGAGCCCAGCAGCACTGCGAGTGAATTGCATGCGTGTATGTCGAATGCTGCCATATCTTTTCGTTATCCGGGCCGTCCTACTCCGGAGAGGACATCCAGTTGGCAGCAGGGTGGGTGTCCAGCAGGTGTGGAAATGCCACGGACGCGGAATGGAGTCATCTTCCAAAGGGTGCCGTGCGTTCGATGCATGCATATAACGACCCCCTGCAAGAAACTGCCATTCAGGTGACCTCTGGCGCATCATGAGGGTCCTGACGCAACGCAGCCACTCTACGAACCGAAATAATGCCAGGTACTCGGTACCGGCAGCTCAGGCAGCTCAGGTTTATTGATGGAAGGCTGGTGGATGAATGTACGTACGGACTGAGGGATGCACACACCTTGGCAAGGTGCGCAAGCCAGCAGACTTTACATCTCATGCTCGGCAGCCGAAGCAACAAGCTTGCGCAATATCGATAGGTTCCCGTGTCTACCGTGACCAATGCCCTTCTGTCACTGCGCCAAGTCGTGCTGCCTTCACGGCATGCCCCTTCCATGGAGACATCACGCAATGGCGCACGACCTGGCAGGTGAAACCCTTCAAGACGACCCGGATCCCTGCAGCCAGGCGACGGCACAGTACCAACCAATATGGCACGACATTGCACAACCCCCCGAGCCGTGTGCTCTCCGAATATGGCCGCCGCCCCCACCGTTACCGTCGGAATAATCGGATGCTATCCGTCACAGCCACCGGCGGACGGGTTGGCATCCAGAGACCCTATTTGGCCCCCCTTCTGCGTATGACACATCCTCCTGACATACTACATGATGGTAACCGCCCAGGTTCATCCGTCGCACGACAACGGCACAAGCTTTCGCAAAGATAACAAAAACAACTCCAGTAACATAACCGAGTATCAACGAACGGCGCGAGGCAGCCTGAATGAAAGAAAAGTCGATTTCCCCACATAGTTCCCTACATCAATTGCAACGATCAGGGAGTTGGCAAGTGAAATAACTCATTCAGACACCGACAATTGGGTTTTGTTTGGCAACATGTATGGACACTGCACCCGTGCGTGCCGAAAGACAGTACGCATGCTAACACAGTCACGACACGACAGCATATCCGTACGACCTCCACCGTCCCGTTCCCTCGTGGTTCGTTTCAAGGCTGCATCACACGTTACCCGCCACGTGGCTGCAATAGCGCAGCCAAGAATGTTCCAATGAGACCTCCATACCGTTTTAAACTCATACATCGGACGTTACCCGTATACCTTGAAATCCGCATTGAGCATGCTCGCTTCTGTAGTTCCAAAAGTGGCTGGAAGAGCTCCGTAATATCATCACCACGTTGTTCCCACCGCGGGAGGGGAATCTGCAACCCTTGTCAGCGTCATTTTCAATTCCCCATTTTACGAAATCCGCGACGCGACAGGCCCCGACGCTACGTCACACGCCAAACGCCTAGGTGCAAGCAGCAAGGAGCACAAGCAGGCCGGGCAAGGCAGGAAAGAGACGAACAGGCAGCCAGGCAGACGAACTGGGCGCATGGAGCGGAAAGACAGATAAAGCAAGCACGTTCACGCATACGCACAAGCAGGTGGCACGTTCACGCGTTCACGTTGCCCGGTGCGCGAAACCCGTAAAAGCACAGCGATTGCGCCTCCCAACGCCTTCGGTGTCAAAACCAAGATGGGTTATGTTGCACGCCGGGATTCGCCGCCCAGCCCAGCCCTGCATCATCGCGTCCCTTCCCTACCCAGGACGCACAACCTTTTATCCCTGTAGAGCTATTGAACATGCTCCATCAAATGTGTCTTGTCAGATCCCAGCCGTTGCCTTGACAAAACATCGTGCAAGCGGTAATGTCAATCCCATCTTAGCGCCTATACCATTAAGTGTGATGAACTGTAATGAACTTTGGACTGAATCATGACCCCACCCCGTGTTTTAAGCCATTCAATCAGTAGGCATATCAGTACTGGCCTTACATGAGCGCCTCTACACACATCTGCTACTGGTCCTCGCCATGCCGCATGCAAGCGCAACTAAATCCCTGCATGGGGAACCCAAGCCAGCATTTCTTCCTCCTCCCCGGCCTCTTCCTTTCCTTCTCGGCCTTCAGGCCAAAACGCAACGCACATATCTGCCGCTATTGACCGAGCGTTTCAACCCACCCTTGCCACGTGCCCCAGTTTCACCGCCTCCACAGCGGCCAACCTTCCCCAAGAGAAACAGCCTCGACCCGTTCCGATGACCTTCCAGAACGAAGGCAAAGGGGCGATGGCTAAGCGGCACAAGAAATTAACAGCGAAACAACCAGGTGCAAGCCGGACCGCCTGTCAAAGCCGGCTCCTCCCTGCACACACCCCACTGCGCAGTGGCACGGAGAAGGAAATTGGGCGGATACATGAAAAACTCCAGTGCAGTCCAGCCCCTGGCGCATCGCCCGACTGACCGGCAGGGCCCGTGAACACTCAGTCCAGAAACGCAGAGACACAGGTCATTTGCCTGTGGGCTAGCACACGCGCCGTATGGCATTATTGGACATCGGCTGCGGCTGTCGTCATCCGCACTTAGCGATACCGAAACTCTTCGCTTTTACTGCAGCACGTCACAAAACCCACCAACAACCATTGCATCTGTATGCATACAAATGTTTTACATGCTCAACATGGGGAGAACATCAATAGCAACTGATCGATGATATGGAAGCCGGAAGACAATGTCACCAGTGACAAGGGAGCGCTTCACTCCTTGTTCACACGGTCGGCGCTGGTGCTGCCGGCCACTGCTGCTGATGTTCTGCTGCTTCTACTGCTGGTGGCGCTGGCGCTGGTCCCGCGGTACTGCTGGGGCATTGGACTCGCCGATATATGTGCAGCCGTGCCCACAGCCACGCCTGCCTAGCTAGAGGATATGGAGCGGGAACTCGTTGTCGGCCGCATCCTGAACAAGAGCGACGAAAAAGGAGAGAAGTCGGAGCTCATAAGAGCTGAGTTGCGCGCAGCGCGCGAGAGCTTGTGCGTGGGGGCACGGGTGCGAAAAGAGACTCATTTCTTCCCTTAGTGTAAGGGTCTGCGGTTTGAACCTACACACAGCTAGCCTCTTGTAGCAACCCCACCACGCCCCACCTGCAGGTACTCTGGGTACACGGGCAGCCTAGCCGCAGACGATGACAACGTCAATAACGACTCGCGGCCCATGAGCTCGTGATCCTTGAGCATCTCATGAATGCGATCCATCACCTGTCGGAACGTGGGACGCAACCGCCGGTCGCCCTGCCAGCAGCGCTGGGCCAGCTCCCTGGGGAAGAAAGGAGGAAAATAGGTATGGGAGAGCCTTGGAAGGGTGTGCACATGCACGCATGCGCGCCATACGTTCGTACGTGTCTGATGCGTGGTCCGGCCCGTTTCAATTCAATGCCTAGGCCCCCGAACGCGGCTTGTTTGCGCAGGCAAGACAGGATAGCCTAGACAATACAGGGAATAAGGACAAGGGGGTGGAATACAGATATTCCGCGCCTCCTTGCTTACTTGAACGAGGGGTGCGTGGAGGAGGGGAACTCGGGCCGCAGCCCCTCTTTAGACACCTTGACCGCAACGTCAATGGTACGATAACCCGTGTACGGCCGAAGTCCGGTATACAGCTCCCACATCATGATCCCAAACTGCTCAACACAGGGAAACACGCGGGGAAGAGGGCTTGGGTGAATGGAAAACGAGGAGAGGGTAAGGGCCCTTACAGCTATCATGCAGCAAGGACTGGGGGAGAGGCTCTACTTCATGTGACCAAGGTAGAAGCAGCGGGGCGGCGGTGTTACGTAGTGTCAACAGCACGTGCAATCACCCGCAACATCCCCCTACGTCTCACCCATCTTCCAGGATTCAGCCTCCATTACTTCAGATATGCACCAGGCCCTCCAAGCTAGAGTGTATCAATAACCAGGACAATCCAACTACGAGCCTGGTGCCTATTACTCACCCCAAACGCTCCTCCTGCCTGACATACCCTTCCTTTTCCCTTCACGTCCACCTCCATTCCACCCGCAATCACACACTAGAGCAACACCCACCGCATACACGTCCACTGCCTTAGTGAGTTTCCCGTTGGGCTGCATGGCCTCGGGTGCAAGGTGGGTGATGGTACCCTCCGCGTGCTTGTTAAAGTAGCTGTTGTCCGACACGATATTGGACAGCCCAAAGTCCGCAACCTGCGTAAAGCACGATTCATGGTCTCCCTCTAAATACTCAAGACGGAAGCAGACCAGATCAGAGGGGAGAAGGCCAGAACAGCACTTCTGAAAGACGGAGGGGTTCATTTCCCCGAGTCAGGCATTTTATTGTTGTTGGCCAAAACCTTGATCTTCGTGTGGGTCGCGGCATACCTTAACAACCCGACGCACCTGACATCTTTGTTGCCAGGGGCCCACAGCATCTGCAATGCCATCTCCCAAAGGTGCCCCGGCGACAACGCTAAGCTACATGGCTAAACGCTAGATGCCACAAGGCAACCTGCAAGCAAAGAAGGCTCTAAGAAGCCCCACCCTCTACTCGTCACTCACTTTGCAGTTGAATCCCCGACTGTCAATGGTGGACGACTTGAGCAGCACGTTCTCGGGCTTGAGGTCATAGTGCACGATGCCAATGGAGTGCAGGTAGTGCAGCGCCGACGCCACCTCCAGCAGGCAGTGCAGGATAGCCGGCATGGCCACCTTGCCGGCGTGGTGGCGTAGCAAGCTGGTGTTGAGCACATCCGCCAGGGAGCCCATGTCGCAATAGTCCATCACCAAAACCTGCAGATGGCCGCAGCCCACCACTTCCAGTGATCCACAGCCGCGAACGGGGTCAACGCCAGGTATTGCAACTAGGCTCACTAGGCTGAGCCGCCCGAATCTCCTATGGGCCCTTGCGCGGGGAGAGTACCAGGGGAGCCATCCCGCTGCAAATCCTGGCAAACCCTGTCCACACACCCTCAACGCCTGAGGATAACCACTATGTAGGCCGTACGTGTTTAGTCTTCAGACTCGTTCGCGCCCGCTGTGGTACTTCCCCGACTCCATCAGCCGTTAAACCCACGACGTTCCGTGCCCATGGTCATTGCTTAGGGGGTTGTTGTTCTGCCGTTCTGTCCTGACGCATCTGTGTTCCGTCGCCCGTTACCTCGCTCTCATCAGCCCCGAGCAAATGTCCTGATCCCGATCTTCCATGGATCGCAGCCCAGACATAATCCCCCCTCACCACCTGGCAATTCTGCTCTCCTGGCCGGTTGAGCTTGCCGCTGCCAGCCTCCTTGCCGCTGCCGCCGCCAAGCCCTCCACCCACGGCTCCGCCGCCTCCTGCAGCGCGGCCCCCGAGCCCGCCGCCACCGCCAGCAGCGGCCTCCTTTGCCTCTCGCTGGCTGGTCGGGTTGTTGTGCCCACGAACGAACTTGATGCAGTTAAGCGGCACATCGGCGTAGTAGGTGTGGATCTGAATGATGTTGGGGTGGCTGATGGAGGTGAGCAACGCCAACTCCAGCGCCCCGTTGAGGGAGCCGTTATCTACATCGCGGTCGCACACCACCTTTACCGCCGCCAGCTGACCCTTATAAATCTGCCGGGGAGTTGGGGAGTTAACGGCAAGGAGATAAAGTACAAGGTACACAGTAAGCCGACATGAAGGGGAGAGACAAAGACGAAGTGAAGGCCCGAACAAGGGCGGAGAGGTAGGAAAGCTGCTGGGGAGTTGACAACAGCCGTTCCTAACCTGCCAAAAGTGGATAGTCGCAACCGCTGCTGCGGCCATTGCTGCAGCAGCACAGGCACGCATGCCAGGTGTTGACGGGAATGCAGGCAAGTGGGTAGGCAGGCCGTATAGCGCAAAGATGCAGACCGGCAGGCAGGTAAGGCAAGGTGAGAGGGCGCCCAGCCAGGATGCCAGTGAGGCATGGTCAGCACCTGACAAGCACGCAATAAAATATCGCAGCAGCACGTGCGGCAATGAGCACCACCAGCTGCCACCAACAACCCAGATAGACTAGGGACCGATAACTCATCCAGACACCATTGTGCTATCCCGTCAACGTGTTCAGCCGGGGTCCTGCAACGGGGTACCTGAAAGTAACTGAAACGTTCTAGCCTGTTGAGGCCGTCTCCAAAAGCGTTCCTGTCGACCTGACCTTTTCCTTCGGACATCTTCGAAAACCTCCTAGGCAGCCTTCGAGAAGTAGTTTCGCTGACCATGGCAGTGATAGAGTGCTAAAGTTCGCTGACTTTTAACGTGTCAAAGCTATTTCTTAGGGCCTGGGACGCAATTATTCAGGCAAGGATGTTTAACCCAGAACCCAAACCATTATTAAAGCCGGTTATTGCCTGCCCTGCAAATGACCACATGAAGACACACACGACTTGTCTTGGCTGTTGTCTGGTGAGCACCTTAAAATCTGTCGGCCTGGAAGGCCTTGCTTACGAGGTGTAAGCAGGTCGTGCAGGACAAACGACTCAGCCAGTCTTTCTCGTTCTTCCGAGATGGGAACATTTGTGTTAAGAAGAATAGTCGCCACACTCTGCACATGGCTGAACCATTGGGCGTTTTCGAAATTCAGCCGTGTACAACCCTATCCAGCAAAACCGGGATAACCTCAAAAATGTCAGGAACGAACTCTCTTGGAGTCCAGCCCCCACGCCAACAATGCCGTTGTGGTTCCCGGTGCCGCCGCCACTCACCGCCCGATACACGGTGCCGTAACCTCCCCGCCCCAACTCGTCATAAACCTCCAGGTCCTCTAGCAGGTTGTTCGGCCCTGGATCCGGGTGCCCCTTGTAAACCTGGGCCACAGGGGAAGGGTAACGTCGCAGAGATTGACACGTGGCCAACGCGCGATAGGAAAGCCAGCACCTGAAATACTTACGACCGAGCATGCACGGTGATGAGGCTTCGTAACGAATGTGTGATTGAAATACCAAGTGAGGACGCTGCCCTTGGAAGAGGCATGCAGACTATGCGAGGTCCAGGCGACCTCAAAAACACGCAACTGTCCCACCTTTGCCAGCTGCCTCCTAATCTGCTCTTGCAGCTCCGCAATCAGCGCGTCCTTCTCGGGCCTTGTGCCCAGCACCAGGTCCTTGGTGGACTCCAGGGTGGCGCTGTCGCTGGTAGCCAGCTCGTCCTTGGCCATAGTGCCCGTGGCGGAGAGACACTCGAACTTGCAGCTCTGGATGTGGGGAGCAGGTTATGGGGAAGCGGACAGAGGGCGTGGGGAACAACTGTCAAGACCCGCTGGGGCAAGGACACAAAGGAGGGGAAGGGTACGTACGCTGCACCTTGAGATACAATATTAACTTCATAAACAAAGCTGCGTTGAACTCACATGAGGTGGCGAGGAAGAGTTCATTCGGCTGAGTGGGACGGTGCTGCCAAATGGAGGACTGGGCGCAGGAGAGGGTTAGAGCAGTCCCGGAGCATCGCCGGAAGCAAACAGGACATCCGCAAACTACCTCTCTGTTCCTTGTGGATCAGTATTTCCACTCTGATGACTCGCCTTGCGTACCCCCTTTGTCGCTGCAACCAGCGGCCTCCCCTTCCCATCCCTAGAAGTGCTCCAACAACAACCCGAACGCAGCCACCCAGAACAGTCCCCGTGACCGACAGGCATCACGGCTACCCGCAACTTCCCACCAGCAACTCGACAGGGCCCCAGCAGACGTGCTTGCTAGAACCTGTGCCCGGCCCATACCAGCCACATCCACACCATACCTCCCAGCTCATACCTCCGCATGCACCGGTGCGCCGAAAGGCCCCCAGTAGGTCTCACCGGCTTAGCGCTCGTCAACCAGGAGTACGGCATCGCGGACTTACACAGCCCTGCTTGTATACAGCACCATTCGGACTTCCACATAACGTCCACCAGACCTGAGACCGACCAACAGTGAAAGCACAGACAAGCAACCGCCCCAAAACCCCAGCGCCTACCCGCACCCTAACCTCCTACCGCAATCGTACGCAAACCATCGGCTACACGCACCCGACAACCACAACCTAAACCAATACACAGGTCCGCAGCACTCCCCTTTTTTCCTAACTACCCATCATCACATTGTCAGTTATCAGCCCCACTCCCGAGCCTCACTCCAGGCGCACCTCGCTGACTTCTATGAGCTTCTTGCTGAGCTCCGCATACAGCTTTTGCTGTAACGTGGGCACCATGAGCTTCACAAGGTCCATCAGCTCGCGACGCACCATGCCGAAATCCGTAGCGGTCCTGCAGGCAATGGGGTTCGCCACAGCTAAGAGTGCCGGCTAGGACAGGGAAACGCAGCGGGTTGCAATGTAAGGAAACATAGTCGCAAACCCAGGACAGGATGCGACATCGGTCAGGAAACAACACATCCAGAGAGGGTCACGTGCCGCGGAGGGTCACCACATGCAGCGATGAGGACAGTGTTGACTTGACACAGAAGGGGTCTGGGCGCATGTAGAGCCGTACACCAAATGATCACGCCACCAAGGCCACCTAGGCTATCCGCATCCGGCGTAGATGATCCCGGCTCCCAAGCCCTCCAGCTCCTTTGTTATCCGTTTCAGAGGCCAATCACAGTTCAATGCCTTGTGATGGCCCTTGTCTTTGTGGCCCTCGACGCCCAGTCCCACTGCTACTGCACGTCAGTAATCCTTCCACCGCCTGCACACTGCAGCATCAAGTACATAACAGCCGCCTCACACGCCTCCTCTCCCTCCCTTTCTAAGCGATGTTTTCGAAAAACTCCAGTGCCTCGTCCAATGCCCCAGCCTACCTGCCTCGCTGCGCTTAGCCCAAGCTGCACCACATCTGTGCCTTTGGTTTGGCTTTGACCTGTCTTGCCGTAACCTCCCAACAGCATCACCACCACTACTATCATTCCCACGTAACCTCCCTTGATGCCGATTCCTCCAACACATTGCCATGTGTGTATCCATCCTACCTAGAGATCGCATATAGGCCCCCAATCCGCGCCGCATCGGGTGCCACCAGTGGCAGGACCATGGCGCTGGCGGGCGAGCGCCCTTCCAGCTTGTACAGAATTGCCACGTCAGCGCCAGTCTTGTACAGCCGCAGGTAGCGGCGCATGTTGGCCACTTTCATCACCTGGCCCGTCGCAAGAGCGTTTTCCAGCAGCGTCTCGCTCGACATGAAGCCATGCATCGCCTGCAAAGAGCGGACACGTGTGGGTAGGTTCAAGTCTTTGCCACACTGAGGGTTCCCATCCACAGAAGGGGCCCTCACCACGCGCTCCCTGTAGTCAGGCGATCTGCGCTCCCCCATTGCCGTCTCCATCACCAACTCGTGGCTCAGCGCAAACATAATTGCGCACGGTCTACCCGGCAGAACCAATGCAATGTAGAAGGATAGGTCTTGCAGCGCATCGAAGATGCCCGTCAGGCCCTGGAAATGACAGCAGCAGCCAGGGAGCAACGGCGGATTCAGCCTCGCAATGGCCGGCATCACAGGAAGGCCCATACATTTGGGAAGGGTTGCTGCATGCAGCTGCGAGCTGTCCAAAGGCGTAAATATTCCCTTGAATGGGCATCCCAGATGCAGCATGGGCGGATGCCCAGCGCCGAGGGTGTCAGGGCAAGTTGGAACGCAGCTTGCGCCCCGCTCTCAGGCGTCTTCGCGTATGGAATGCACTGCCGGGCGTGAATGCACAGACCGCAGCCAAGACCAACAAAAGAACACGCGCTTATAACACTTTTTTAACTTCCGCTTTACGGAACCCGCAGTCCCTTCTTCACGTGGGCACACGCGGGCGGCACACGTAGGTTGGACAACTCGCAACACCATGACGGTAAAGCATACACGCGTGTCCTGTGTACGTGCACACTCTTAGTCAGATTCCTAGTCCTGGTGCCCTATTGTATTGACCCCGTGCAGCCATGTAACAGGAGCTCGTAACTACTGTGCAAAGTCCATCCAGCAGCCCGGGGCCTAGACTACTTGCGATTTGCCCCTCCCTGCCAACACCCTTGTGCTAGTGCAACCGCCAAGGCGTCCTAGCAGTCTTCTAAAATAGCCCATTTTCCATAGAGCCGAAGGGTAGTCGCACACGACTTGCCGATTGCCGTTTGCAGTGAATCCCAGGGAAAATAAAGAAAGCGGCTCTTTGTTACTGATTGGACGGCCCATATGTGCTTCTTACCCAATATCCCGCATAGACATGTAATTCCCCCGTTAGGGCCCCCATCAGCTTTAAGGCCCATTTCTGCCCCGGAAAACTGGCATCATGCTATGCAGGCGGCCTTCATCGCGGGCTTTGCAACATTATCCGCCCGGGCCAACGGAACATTGAACATTGCACATCCCTGGCATGTCGATTTCCCCACCCACCTTGAGAATTGCTATGCTCAGCTGCTCAACCGTCTCCTGCTTTGCAATGCTCTGTAACCAGCTGATTTTGGATCGCAGGTGTGCGTCATGAAAATGCTGCGCCAGCACGGCAGCCAGTAGCCGCAGCTGAAGGCCCCACCTACCACCACACGAAGACCCCGAGGGGAAATGGGTTTAGTACTGCGGGCCCGATCGCCGGGGCAAGCCACCTCGAGGGAAGCAGAATAAATAAAGTTGCTTTGACCAGCGGGACTTACCAGTGTTTCTGTTCATCCACTTCTATGACGAGGGCGACGTTCAGAACGCCAACGAGCTGGCCCCCAACCTTAATTGGAACTGCCAGGAATGATTTAAGCTTTTGCATTTTGAACAGACACTTCCAGTCCTCTGGGAGCTCATTTGCGTTGTGCTCGCCCGCCGCCCAGAAGCAAGCTGTGCCCTCAGAAAGGACGCGCTGGACAGAGCAATGGGAACTATCCACATTTAGAAGATAGTGTTTCGGGAGGAAATCCGATCCAACACCCGATGCTGTGAGGACCATGAAGACTTGCTCATCTTCGCTGACCACAGAGATGCTGCGCGACGGAGTAGGAAACTGTTACACATAAATGACGGTGAACACCTTGCAGTTAATTCTCACCTCGCAAACTGCACGTAGCTTTCACCGACCAAAAGACTTGTAAAAGCCTCGACCTTTTCGACTGCAGTGCCTTCAATCACCGAGAGAGACTCGATAAGCTGGGTGCCCTGTACATGCAATCACTAGGTGTCAAAAAGAACACACGCGCGGACAGAGCTGAGACAAGCCGTAACAATCATGCCCTTTCCACACACCTTGTCAACAGCAGAAAGCGTGTGCTTATTTGTAGTAACCTTTCGACCAGAATTTGAGGCAGCAGGCCTATCGTGTACTGGCGTCGCAGCCCCATCGCGCTTGCCAGAGTCACCTCTGCTGCTTGCTGGGCCGGTCGGATGAGAGCCGCCGCCAGCATCGGCAGCAATCCCAGCTACGCAGCCATTCGGTGTCGAGAAGTGTACCTCGTTCCCCTTGTTAGCGGTGTTCAGATGACGGACGCCTTGGGCATTGCTCGCCTCGCACCCCGGAGGTTGAACAGCACCAGCAGGAATATTTGCAGAAGACGGGGACGAAGGCGTACTCAACAGGCAGCCCATGCGCTGTTTCACCCAAGGACATCGTCAATCGTCAGCTCAGCCCAAGCCACAGTTTCCTCAAGGAAAAAAAATCTAACTCGACGCATGTACAAATTTCATAAAACTTTTTACAAATGAAAATTACTATGTAACATAAGGTTCACGAGTTCGATAAGTGCGACGCCAAGCAGTCCGAAACAATCACTTTACAGTCGTTATACATCCATGTCCAGCAGGACGAGGCTAGGGTGCAGTTGCCGTTGGTTAGCTGAAAGAGTTGGATGATGTACAGCGACATGACGTACGGTGCACAGTGCCGCAGCGGTCAACACAGCCGCCTTAATCCAGGTGCGTTTCTGTTCCATTAATAATTTAGGTTTGGGTGTGGCTACAAAGAGCTCTGCATGTTCGAAAATATGTGGGAACAAAGGATGGCAACGTTGAAAGTGTACTAGTGGACACTGGACAGTATGGTGTTGCGGACTTGACAAACCTTTTTTCGCTTGTGTTATCTTGGTTTATGGGAACTAAGGGCCTGTTGGGCAAAGCTAGGCGTGTCCACCAGTGGGGAGCACGTTTGTGCCGTACAAACGGATTCGCCAACCCTGCTAACTCAAGAAACGCATCAGGTATCCCAAGCATGGGCTTCCATTCAGAGTTCCATGGGCTTCCGTCCAGGCAATCATGCACACTTTATGGTGATTGGCATAATGGGATGTCCCGGCTGTATCAAAAAGCTATCTGTGCAGTTGAGGTGGTTGGGGGATTGTTCATCAATAAAGGGCGCTACCTCCGTTATGGCAACTGCAAAGATCGCTCTGAGAACGGTATCTAGCTGTCCTGGCTACTGGCACCACCACGAGCGCTCCAGCACCGCTGCCGCCTCCAGTCCGCGGGAGCTCCCTCAGCGCTCAGTTCAATGCTTATTAATCAAAATCCTCATCAATTAGTCATCATTCGAACGAGGAATCTTTATGCTCGTGAGCGTGAAAAAAATACACTCTATCATTAAGCATACCAGCAGAAGTAATAGCAGTTTTCCAGTATTTTTAAGAGATGCTGTCCATAGCGCCGGCCGGCAGGATAGGCCGTACATTGAGATTGACGTAGGCAGCACGACCGCTGCTGCCGAGTTCAACCCCGCCCCGTACAGCGCCGACGTCAGTGCTGCTACTGCTGCTGCCGGATCGGCCCATGGAATTCCCCCATCTGTATCGGGGCCAAGGGTCTGGTGCCATAGCTACCGACGCGATGCCCGCCCTCCCTTCCGTACGCAAATGGGGCGCCGTACGGGACTCAGGCCCCGGCTTCGGTGTGGGGTATGACCCTTGGGTCGAAAACATGGACTGGCGCCAACCGATGTCTTCAGTGGCGACGGGGCCCCAAGCATCTGGTAGTGTGCAGAAGTTTATTGCCGTTTCGGCCGGCCTAAGGCGGGCGCAAGAGCTACCTGTTGTCGTCTAACTCTGTCCAACAAATGTAAGTAACATAAGTTAAAACAAGTACCTGCAAGGAAATTTCGCCGCTCCGACAGGTCTAGTGAACGAGCGAGCGAGCGAGCGAAAGAGGGAGGGGGAAAAGCCAGGATTGGGCAGGAGGGAGTTGAAAATATAGGCAGCCTTGGGCATCCATGCAGGAAATCAGTCTCCTGCGTCCATGTATGGGATTAGCGACTCTTGTTTTGTACTTTGTACGGTTTCCCAGACGTACTGTTTCGCAGTCGTGATCGATGCGCATCGTCGTTGCATGTTGCGTCCGTGAAAGACCTACAATCTAACCCTGGCTTTGCTGCAACATACTTCTTTGCCTTACGGCTTTGGGGCTATCGTTCATGGGTCGGTTTCTGCGGCATCTGTTGCTTCGGAAGGAAAGTGAGGACCAAATATGGATTATTCCGCCGATTATTATGCCTGTCATTGTTTCCTGGGCAATCCTGTGGTATGTGCCATTGCTACCATACGGTAAAATGGGTTCCGTATCACGCTTATGCTTTAGCACAGTACCAGTTTTTAGTAACGATTCCTAAGGTAAGATCTGTACTGCTTAACTCTGCCTGGGAGGTCATGACAGTTAACGGCGACAGTAAATTAAGCTTCGGAAGACCCTGCGGACGACCCTGCCGCGTTGGTACGGCCTCCGTACCAGACGCAACCCGTTATACGTTAAGGCTGAAGCGTAGGACGCCTCTCGTACCTTAAATAAAAAGAATGGCGAAGGCACTGACTTTATGGCCCATATACACAAGGTAACGTTATCCTGGTTACCGTGTAAAAACTTGCATGTTGTGCAATTATAGCATTTAACTGCGCCATCGGAAGTAGTCGCCATTTGTTGCGGAGGGCTCGAATTAGCTGTTGGAATTATAGTGGAACTAGATTATACGGGAAGTCCCGGTAAATTTAAGCCACCGTTGCACCAGGAACCAGGCAGCATATCCCAAGCAAGGTTCCTCAGCAACCGCTGAACTGCTCAACTGGCATTACATGCTACACAGCGCTTGGGTGCGGACAGCACTGGTGACCTGATCGGATCTTCGGTCTGTTTCCTGATCGGATTTTCGGTCTGTTTCCGTAGCCGGTAATTCATTTATCGTAATTCATAATACTGGCCGCACCGGTCGGTTGCATGAGCTTAACCGATACGTGGTAAAAGAATATGCCTGCTAGAAACGTTTTTTAGCGTTTAACGGTACGTCAATGTGTGCGCCTGACGCAATAACCGACATACCGTGATCGAACCAACATCGACAGTCAACACCTGCGAGACCACCGGTGCTAGACTGCAAGAAAGAAACCCTCGAACCCGTCACACCTCGTTGGCGGCCTCGAGGAACTTGCCCCATGCCCGACACTGAGTAAACCAATTATCCTGTTGAACATCTGAGGATTCAGTCGCTGTCAGTAGTTTAGTGAGGGTCATGCCCTTCAACCCTCCCACGCGGCTGCCATCGGCGTACTGCTGGCTGTGGTGAGCACTTCGTTTTCCAGGTCCGATACGAAGGCGAACCCAGGAAATTCCTTCCCAGTCGTTTCCAGCGCAAAACAGGACATGAGGCCGACAATTTCGGGGACATCCTCCGTCCGAAAAGGCACCACCAAGACGAGACCTAGACTTCCTGGAAGTTAAAAGTGTATATGTACTTGCATTTAGGCAAGCTAGATGGCCTGCCTTGCCGGTTGGCTAGCTGGCTGAGTGCTGAGGCGCTGCTCGGAGCACCTGCATGGGGCCCCCCGACTGCGGGGCGCGAATGACTGCCAATGGCGATACTCGTACGTAATTACGTACGGGATCACGGGAGCACATGGGCTCATCGGGACGGGGGCTCTATTGGCTACTTGTAAGAACCAGGCAGAAACTCGAGGGCGTGGCTTTCGCCGCAATGTCCGCCGCCCAACCCAACCTCCTCCTCCCTTATTCCGCTCCTTCTACATCCCTGCTCCCCTCATGGTTACGCGTCAAGGGAAAGAGATCTCCGCACCCTTGCCTTCTCTCTACCCTCTTCCTCGCTACTCTTCCCTCTCCCAACCGGCAGTTGAATTTGAGGGGTTAACATTTCTCCCAGGCTTCATGCTTTCTCGCATATGATTGCACACTCTCCAGTATATCTGCTCCTATCGTCGGTGGTTCTTCTTACCCTCTCTCCCTACCGATGCAACAACACCTCACAGCTCCCCATCGTGTTCGTGCCACGGCCCCGCCGCCCCACCCTGCGCTTGGTCCCAGTCTAACCCCCTCAAATCGTCACCGGCCACGGTGCCGTACGTGCCGCCAGCGCCAGCACCTGCAGCGCCACCAGCACCGCCAAGGAATGACCCCCACCAGCTCATCCATCCAGCAGGCGGGGCCCCAGCGGGTGCGGCCCGATATCCAACCAGGTGCGTGAACTTGATGTACACCACCATTGCGGTAAACACCATCCCCACTACCAGCATAATCATGCACGTGAAGCACAGTGTGCCGCCGGACCTGCGAATCCAGGGAGCACGTGGAGCAGTATAAGCTGGCGATAAAGGAGTGGTGGCGGCGGCGGCGGCGGCAGTGGTGACCGGGCCGCGGTGATCAGTGCAAACTTCTAAAAGACTGCAGAAATCGCCCGCTAATGTCCAAAAGCTACAAACAACTCAAGAAAATCCCTCAAACATCTGTATTTAGGAAGCACAGGAATCAGAACAGGGCGAAGCAGAGGCGTAGAGGGTTATAAGGGAAACCCGGCGTGGGCGTTATGAGGACTCGGACCCTGACGGTCCCGTGGACGCCGCGGTCCTGGCCGCCATCCTCACCTCTTGACCTGCCTCCCCGCCTCCGCTGCATTCAGCTTGGCAGCCACCAGGCTGTCCGTTAGGGCCGCATCCGTGACATCCAATAGCTTGCCCCGTTCGGCCACTGCCCCCGCCATGCCCATTGCGTTGGCCTTGAGTGCTGCCGTCAGCTCCACCAGCTCATCCGTCAGTAGTGCCTGGGCGGCCTCTGCCCCGCGAAGGCTGCAGGGGGAAAAAAAGGAAGGAACAGGCCCCATGTGGAGGTGTATTCAGGCGACGGAGCGTGGGCAAGGAGAGACCGCAAGGTTTTGTGATTGCCTTGTCCCTTTGCCGCCCATTTCCTCCCTCCTCCGTTGTCCTGGCTTGGCTTTCTTCCCTTTCATACTCCTAATCGCATACTTTCCCCCTCAACCTCTCACCGTTCGGATGCCGCCGAGCTGAGTCCCGCCACGTCAGCAGTAGCTGTACGGCCCGAGGTTCCGACACGGCCGCCGCCGCCAGCGCCGCCGCCGCCGCCAGCAGGCGTCGCCATCCCCGGTCTGCAGCCCGTGGGAGGGCCATCGTGGCGGGGGAGGCGGATTCGGATCTCCAGGACTAACATCAGAAAACATCAGCGAGCAGCTCTTGAGTGAATTGATTCCAATTAAATAATTCCTACAGAATGGGTGGTCTCTGGGCCTTTCGCGATTGGATCGACGGAACAACCGCATGGAGGAAGGCACAGGAATATTCTGGATGGAGCAAAATACGGACGAGAGCCCAGAGGGGAAGACGGGAAACACGAAACACGATTGGGAAAGTGACTGAACAAAAAGGGGAGCGGATGAGCAGAAATGCTTCTTGAGGGTACTGGGGATTGAAAAAGGTCAGGTGGATGGTGGAGGCTTTCCGGAGCCGCGTTTCACCGCGGCTCCTTACCTTGCTGCCGGCAGTGTGAAGTACGACAAAGGGGGCGCCGAATGGCTTGCGCTGCTGCTACTGCCGCCACCGGCGGCTATTGCCGTGCCGGTGATAAGATTCTGGCAGTACGGCGGCAGTTGCACCTTGGGTACGGCAGCCGCAACTGCCTTAAGATGCGTATCGTACAGATCCAGCGTTGCTGCGTCCAATCTACGCCGTGCAATGGGCCGGGGAAGGCACAGGAACGGAATGCCAGTACACGGCCGTGCAGACAGCAATCAGTTAGATCGTTGGGAAATAAGTTGTTCGGTTGCACTCGGGCACTGGTGGAGCCGGGAGCCCGCAATACATAGAGATACACGGGTGCCGTGGTGGCGATGATGAGATGGTTAGGAGTGGAGGCGTGAAGACGGACCACAGAGCACAGACGAGTGATGCTGACATACCAGAGTTAGAAAGGTACTCTCCAGGAGGGGAGTGAAGGACGGGGAGCGCCGGTGGTGAAGTGGTGGTTACGCCTGGTGGCGACATCGCATGACAGGCGGGAAACATGCTTAAAATCGCACTCCCGCAGCCACCCACACACCCATGAACTCAATCATCCCCCCAGGTGCCCTGACTCACCCTAGGGCGTCCTGCTGGGCTCGGAGGTCTGCCAGCAGCTCCCGAAGCGTGTCCACGTACTGCCAGGACACCACCAACAAGAACGGCAAGATCAGCAGAATCAACATGACCACCACCACCACCAGCAGCAATGTGACATTAAGCATAAGGCGCAGTAGTCCCCACCAGCAGCCGCCACACTAGCAGGGGGCCCCGCAGGAGGCCTAGCGGTAGGAAAGGCCGTGGGGGAACGCGATGTGGCCGGCAAGGGGGGCACTTGCACCGGCCCACCCGGGGCGTTGCCGAGGCGGCGCGGGAAGGGGGGCGTAAGGAAAAGGGGGGAAATTTTTCCCCATCCCCATAGCCATTCGCTATCCCGTCAGTGTGGGAGCGATGTAAGGGGAATTGGGGTTAGCTTTAGGCAGAGCAATCCCAACATACGTAGCGAGAAATCCCCTTTTTGAGGCAGCGGCGCTTGATAGCGAGAAGCTGGAAAACAGTTTTTTCACGTTTACAGCTGTGGGGGACTTACGTGGCGCATCTTTAGCACTCGAGCGGCGATGTCCACGTCACCGCCGCCGCCACCGCTGACGGAGTCGCCGCTGCTTGCGCTGCTGGTGCCGGCAGCGCCCGTGGCGGCGGCCACTGCGCCGCGGCCATTGAGGCCATCCGCTAGGGCGCTTGCGCCGGAGCTGCCGCTGGCTGCTGCCACTGCGGCAGTTGCTGCTGAGGCATCCAGTGTTTTCAGGTGCCTGTGTTCGTGTATGGGAGTGCCATGGTGTCGTTGGGCTGTTTGGATTGTGTTGGGGTGTGTGAGGTTGTCCCGCCGGGTCAGCGGGGCCGTGGACAGGGATGCGGAGGAGCAAGGCAAGGGGAGCGAGTGGCGAAGATAGCGGAAGAAGAAATGAGAGGTGTGGAGTGGGAAGGTGGTAATTTGGGGGGCTGTGATGCCACGGGAAATATAAAAAGGAGAGACGCGCACACGACCCGAGGGGCATGAGGGCCACGAGGGCTTGATCATAAACAAAAGTCCTGCTATCTAGCTGTTGCTGCTGGGTGGCTGCTGTTGGGTGGCTGCTGTTGGGTGGCTGCTACTGCAGCTTATGGTCTATAATGCGGGCTGCGCCCCGGTGGGGGTGTGAGACGCTCGTGCAACGCTTGGTAACGCCGTGGGCCCTATAGGTGCGGATTGCGTTGCTGGTCTGGGTTAGATTGGACAACTGGCGGGGCATGCCGGCCGGTGCGGGGTCAGGTCGCAAGCGGAGTGGTAAGGTAAGGTAAGGTAAGGTGGACTACCGGTTCCACCCCCACCACCTCTATCGGAGGGGAGTGTATAGGCCACAGCTCAAGAAACGGAAGGCGTGGCGTTGAACCGGAGGCTGATCGGGGTTGGGGTTTCAGGCTGCCTGGAGTTGTGGCACTGTTTATGCATATGCATATACAGTCGTGGGTATACATGTGCGCAGCGTGTATGATGAGGCAGGGGGCCGGTTGGCTGGCGCTGCCCGTCAGCGTTCTTGATGTGGCCCGCGATCGCGCGTATTGGGCCTTACTTGAGGCAGCTTTCGAGCAGACGTCGGAAGGACACCTCCAACTGGCTGCCCTTTGGGGTCGGCAACCTGGTGCCTGGTTGTGCCGTCCGTGTTACAGCCATGCTACGTTGTATTTGTATGACAAGGTGGAAATATAATTAGGTAGTGGGTCTTTCCCTGGCCTTGACTCACGCAAGGCCTGGCCAGTCGGGGCGCTTAATTTTTAGGTCCGCATAAATCCTATATATACTATAAGTGTAACTATCTATGCACTTCCCTAAGTTAAATGAAAGGAGGGGTCAACCAACGTTCCGACCTGGCATATGATTCATGGACAGGGCCAACTAATTTCCAACAAGGTCTTTGATTGCATGTATCGCTCTGGCCCTATGCAAAATGTTTACTGCAAATTTATAACTGCTGGAAATCTTCTTCGCGTGAATTGCACCAGTAAATGGGTGTGACCAACAACCTTTGGACAGCTTGGCATTAAGCCAATGCTATCCCAACCGTCTGTTGATGATCCAAAAATGACATAAGGCATACGGGCATTTTCATGTCCTAATTCTTTTTCTTAAGGTGGGGAAACGAACGTTGTTACAGGCCTCTGTCCGCGCTGGCAAACAGACTTGGCGGCAGCAAATGCACGGCCAATGACCGTTGAACTGATAGCCAAACCTCTCGTGTGAGGATTACGGCCACTTCCCGAACTTGCACGGACCTTGACGACAGACAGTTAGGCCACTTTTGTAACCATGCACGCAACCCTCGGTATAACCATATTTTCTGTAATAGCATTGTTTGTGGCTGTCCATGGATTCAGAAGGAGTCGGAAGAAGCGGAGATACCAGCAGAGTTCTTGCGTCGACAGGACGGATTCCGCGTATGCATTAAGGTCTAGCTCCTTGGGCACATCATTTACACCCATGGGCTGTGTTCAATCTGTGGAAGGATCAGGTGGAGGATCCGCGGGGGATGACTTACAAGTCGGAGCTTCAGACGGCAAACCTACTAATGTCGCTGTTGCCAGCTCGCCGGGTGTTCCTTTCGATGGGGTTGCAACATCAGCCCCAAGAAAACAGGTATGCGTTGTCACGGCGGCCCCCAGCGTTCCATTCCTGTGTGATGGTGTCGGTCCTACTGTCCAGGTCCGTGACTCCGTCCACGACATCAATGGAGGAACCGGCGAAGCGTCTAAAGATGGTGAGATATAGAGCTGTTAATTTGTAGCCTTTGGGACGACCCTGTCGAAACAGGGTGGACCGTAAAGCCAAGCTCATTACCTTTTCGGCTTTTCCGCAGACCGCCTGGACAGCTACAAAAGCGGCACGTCATCACGTGGCAAATGCGACGATAAAAGGTGCTGATGCAGTCATGCTTCTCGTTTTGCCCTTTTGTGCCGGTTCCGACCGACAAGGTAGCGACAGCGTGTTGCAGGGTCTCCTACACATTTATTTCTGCCGCATGCCTTCGTGGGCATCTGGCAGGCATCCTAAAACGTTTGCGCCGGGTCTCCGATGCGCGCATTCACTCTTTGTAGCGTACCCCCAGTAGGAGCAAGCGTAACCCCAATACTACCTACGTCATATACAAAAGCCCCGCTTCTTTTATAATAGGTGTTTTCAGCCTTCTTTGCCAGCCGCCCCGGGCCGACGCGCGTAAGTGTCGTCTCCTGGAAGCTGCATATCCTGGAAATCCCAGTCCATATGACTGGGCCGCTGCCCTTCCCCCTCTCCATTTTCATGGCAGGGTCCGCAACTCTTTTCCCCAATTTCCGTCTTGCAGAAAAAGCATAGTCTCCCGTATGCACATAGCTTAATATGACGAGATAATAGACCTTGGGCCTGGCTTGGCGCCGCCCTGGAAACCCCATAAACCCCCGCACCCTCCGATGTCACCACCATTCGCGGGTTATGGTTTATCGTTCTAGCCATCCATCCTTGTAAACCCGTTTTTCATTTCCTAGAACTCTGCTCCCGGCTAGTGCTTACCTTAATCCTGCATAACCCATCTTAATGCCAACAATGCATATACGCCGTTACATCAGCGGCTTGGCGAGTACCTACCCCCTCTTCTTCCCCTTGCCGTCACCTGTTACGTTGCTTCTATATGCTGCTACTAAAGAGTCTGTGCTGTGGTTTCTTTGCCGTACCATAACTGCTGTGGCAGTGCAAGCAAGGAAGTATTGTCCTCGAAGTATTAACACGCGACTGAATCACACCCAGGAAAATGGCCGAGGGGGGACGGCAAACCTCTTGACCCTCTCGAGGCCCTGAGCCCCTCAGCTCCGTAGCCTTGAAGGTCCCCAAAGTGCAATTACCTTCGCACGGCTCGGCTCGGGAGAACAAGTTCGGACTTTGTCAGCAAGGGGTACCGACGCGTAATGTCGTTTTCGTTTGCTTAGAAAACTAATCCAGTTGCTGCGTCGTTAACAATTTTCAAAGGTGCTTTCCCAAAGCTGCTGAAGTAAAACCGCTGAAGCCCCGTTGGGTAGTGAAGTTCTCTGTAACGGTATTTGCCGCCTCTTGCGTCACAACCAAACCCCCCAAACCCTAAAAACGACAACTTTCGCCTCGTTCAGATGGTGCAGATGTTATTTTTCCCGTCGTCTCTTTTCATGTTACGTGGCTATCTGTGCTCCCGTACTGACGGTTACGACGCTTTCCTCCTCGTACGTTTCTCTCCCTTCTTTTCCTCTTTTTTATTTCATTTCCGGTCTCTCTCGATGCCTACCGCTTTAGCTAGCCCAGTTAGTCCCAAATCAGATCAATTCATGCCGTCCATGTTCTGCGTAGGTCAGTGTCGGGGTTGGATGCAGGGGCACATCGCACATCTCGCCTCCTTCGCATCAAGGGCTAGCGCCAAACAATACCTTCTGATCACGTAACACCACTTCCTGTACAAGGCCACCTCCTCATTAGGAGTCCTCCTCTTTCCTTATAGCATCTTTCCATCTACTCCGGGCTTGAGAGACCATCCCAGGAATACGACAACACAGAATATACTACAACGTATGCCGGTGGCAGTCTTTTGCGCTTGTCTTGCTTTTTTGGTTTTCCGTCTTTTCGTTGATTGATTGACTGGCCGAAACCCACAAATGTGCCGCTGGCCCTCTCGCTTTCACTGGGGCTCTTTTGTGCTCCCCCAGGTCCCCTGGCACTTCCGCGGAACCGGGTAATGCGGGCGCAGCCCCAACCGCTGCTGCTGCCGCTGCTGCCAACGACACGGCGTCCATTACCACCGACGAACGCAATCCCGGCGGGGGCGCGGGGGTCTCATTTGAAGGTGGCGGTACGGCAGGTCACCGGAATTCTAGCATAGACGCCAAGGTCAACAGCAACCGCAGCAGCTTTGCCGCGGAGGGCATTACCGGTGATCGGCAGTACCAGGCGTTGATGGCGGCGCGGGGAAGCAGGGGCGGGCCCATGGGGGCAGCTGGCAGCGGCGGCGGTCATTCTCCGATGCCGCTGGAGGCTGCACGGTCGAGTGCGCAGGCTCGTTTGAGCAGCATTCAGGCGGCGGACGTGATGGGAGTGGGTGGAGACAAGGCGGCGACTGTGCCACGGGGTGGGTAGCTGTAGTGTTGGGTGGAACACGGAATGAGGCCATAGAGGCCAACGGGCCTCTGTCTGTGCGAGTGCCAGTGTCAGCATCAGTGGGCCAGGGTCTTATCGTGCATCTGCGTATCCGCGCCTCTGCATGAGCAGCACGGCCCTTACTGGCAGCAGCTTCACTAGGACCTTTGGAATGCCTTGTGCTGCATTCCTTGCCAGCCATTTCTCGACCCTTTTCTCCCCCTTTTCCTCCCATCCTCCCGCGCAGCGTTGGCCCCCGCGCACGACCCTCTTCCCGGTTTCCAGCCGCCTGCCCCCTTGTCCTCCGCCTATCCCCCTCTGGGCGCGATCCCCCTGGACACACCGGTGCCACTGGAGGTGCTGGGCCGGCTGTGGGGCTGTCGCAGTGGGGAGGAGGCGCTGGGGGTGAGTAGGGTCGGGAGAGAAGGGGTGGGGTGGGCTGGCTACCACTGCAGCTCGTACTCTTGCTGCTATTGTTACAGTTACCGCGCGGCGCCTGTTGCTTGCTGGGCATGTGTGTCGGTTGGATTGCGGTTCGTGGTGTTCTCGGCCGTCGTTTATCAGCGTTGCCTGTGTGCGTTTTTTACTCGGTTCTTGGATCAGTTAAATCTTAACCCGTGGTGGGCCAATAATTCCTTCTCACCTCTGCCTCACCCCTCACCCCTCCCTCACCCACGTTCGTGGTTCGTCTTTCCCTCCCCCCGGTCAACCTGTTCTCCCACCTTTCCTTCCCCCCATCCCACCGTCTCGCTCCCTTTACCTTCCCCCTGGCTGTGTGTGTATGTGTGTGTTTCCCACACCCCCCCCATCCTATTCCAGACCGCCCGCGCATTTGCCTCTTTAGGCATCCTCCGCCTGGCCTCCCTGGAGGACGGCTCCTGCTGGGCCCTCCCCGCGCAGCAGCACGTGGCGCATGCGGCAGCGGCGTGGCCCGAGGTGGTGGCGGGGGTGCACCGGCAGCTGGTGGAGGGCTACTCACGGAGGGGCACGGTGCCACTGGATGCGCTGAGGGATGACGGCTACATCATACAGGTGTGTGCGTGTGTGTGTGTGCGCATGTATGTATGTGAGTGTGCTTATGTGACGGTTGTGAAGGTGTGAATGTGCTTTGAATGTGGCTTTGCATGTTTTGAGGTTTTGCGGGTAGTAGTGTGTGGATGAAAGTGGAAGAAATTCCTGTTTGCGGGCATACAGGGGTCTTGGAAGCGGCAATGCGTGTGTGCGTTTATTTGTGCGTTTGTTTTGCAAGGATTGTGGGTTGAGCCACAGAAATGATGTGTTCCAAGTAAAAAGCCAAGGCACGAGGCACGTGTGTAATTAACATCCACTGGTGTATTCTGTTCATATGACATACGAATCATTCCCCTTTCACCTACTTGCTCACCTCACGCACCGGGGTTTCCCTACCCCCCTCCCCGGCCACCCTCGGTCGCACAGGCGCTATCCCACCACCTGGTTGGCTCGGGTCAGCTGGAGCCGCTCAGGAGGTTGCTGATGAACCCCGGCTGGCTGGAGTCCAAGCTGCACGCGTACGGAGTGGGGGCGGTGGTGCGGGACTTCAGGAGGTGAGGAGGAGGAGGAGGAGGAGGGCGGGGGGGGGGCAAGCAGGGGGGCGGGATGGTGCGGGAAGGAAGAGGGTGCGCGTGAGTGCTGACTAAGCCCACTCCAACCCGGTTGCCGTGGGCCATGCTCCTGCCTGCCTGCTCACTCACGCCTGGTGCTCTTTGATTATACGGACGCCGGCAGTCGCCGTGTATATCAACGAGGGTCTCTGATCTCATCTCAGGTTTGCGTCATCATCCTCCAATATAATTTTCCCTCCAAAACCTCCCTTTTCCGTCAGTCGTCTGTGCTTTTCATCGTGTAAAACCTTCTCCTCTCTCGTCGGCCCTCATCACTCCTAACCTACTGTCATTCCTGTAACCCTCTCCCCCCTCCCTCCTGCTCTCTTCCCCCACGCGTTCAGGTTCCTTCAGGAAGCCCAATCCGACGAAGACGCTCTGGACGTGAAGCTGCTGCTGCAGGCCTTCCAGCTGAGCCTGGGTGCGGCCATGGAGCACCCCAGCAGCCGCATGATGAGGGAGCAGATGCTGGCCAGGCTTATGGCGGTGGCGGCGGGGGGAAGGTTGAAGGTAATTGGGGAGGTCGGATGTTTGGGCGATGGGTGGGTTGGGAAGGGGAGGTGTAAGGTGGTAGGGGGGTTCGAGGTGTGGGATAGGAGTGAGGGGTGGGCTGGGAGGTAAGAAGGGGGGAGAATGAATTCACAGCCGGACCCCGCACAGGACCTGTCATCACCCGTGCCAGGGTTGTGGAGTTACCTGGGGGGCTGTGGGTTGGACCGTAGCTGCGAAGCGAAGCAAACGTGGCGGTGGCGGTGGCGGTGGTGATAGGGACACCTATTGTCTTCCGTTGCCCCCCCCTGCACCTCACCAACCACCCCAATTTCTCTTCCCCGCCACTCTCTCTCTCTCTCTCTCTCACACACACACACCCACACACCATGTCCGACCCTCAGGATTGGTTTGTTGACCAGACCGCCAAATGTGCTGCGGAGAGCATGTTGGCGGCCAACTCGCGGCTGCTTCACCTCATGCCCAGATCGCCCTCCCTGGCGCAGGTAGGGGGAGACGGGAGACTGAACACGGGGGAGGAGGGGGTGGGAATTGCGTGCGCGTATTGCACCGATCCGGTGTGTTTGCGTACTCCTTTCATGTACCCGCAAGCCAGTATGGCAGTACGTCGCTTTTAAGTATGTACAAGCCCAGTAGCCATCTCCTTGGCTGAGGACAGCGGGTGATGCGTCAGGTAACGTCAGGTTGTGTTGTGTGTGGGCGGAAAGGAGGAGTCGTGTGGTCTCACGCTGTCGGCATATGGGGGCTCTCGGGGGACTTTTTCCGGGCGCGAATCCCCCGACCCCGATATCGCTCTCCTCCTCATTCCTGCTTTCCCATTCCCGCCTCCCTTCTGCAATATATATTTTCCCCTGCCTCCCTCCCTCCCTCCCTCCCGCCCTGCCTCCCTCCCTCCCTCCCTCCCGCCCTGCCTCCCTCCCTCCCGCCCTGCCTCCCTCCCTCCCTCCCGCCCTTCCTGTTATGCATTCGTTCATTGCGTCATCATTCCTTCATCCGGTACGACACTGCGCTTGTTTTTCTTTTCTTAAGCGTTTCCATTTCCTTTATTTTCCCTTCTCAGTCAAAATTTCAAATCAGCCAGCCAGCTAGTACTTTTCCTCAGCAGCATTCGCATGTCTCCTTGTCCTTTATCGCACCCGGCTCACCTCTTTGCTACCCTTTTGTTTTTGCATGTGCCTTTTGCCACGACTTCTGCGGCCTGGCCAGGTGAGTCCAAAGGGTGGTTCGAGCTTCTTTGGTATATCGCGTTGGCGTCGGTCGGCTAGCCGGAATAGAATAGTCGGGTCGGTCGGGTCGGTCGCACGTTTTAGTTTTTTTGGGGGGTTGGGAGGAGCACTTGCATACCGACAGCCTTTCAGTATCAGCAAATCAGCCTTTTTCTCCAGGCCAGCAACTTTAGGCCACCTTTACGACAGCAATATTTTACTCGCCGCCTTCACTACTACTTTTCTACACCTACTTCTTTACGGATTGGCTATACTATTCAGCTTTTTAATTCTGGCGGCTTAGGTAGGTAGGATTTCCGATATCAACGTCACTTCGTCATCCCGAGGTCACAGTCGTCACAGTCGCCACGGACGCCTTTCGGTCAGTTTTTACGTTTGCTACTCTCTTGCCCTGGCAGCAGCTTCAATCGTGTGTGGTTCGTCTTTCCTCCCTCCCTCCCTCCCGCCCTGCCTCCCTCCCTCCCTGCCTCCCTGCCTCCCTCCCTGCCTCCCTCCCTCCCTGCCTCCCCCTGCCCTCCTTCTGGCCCCCAGGCGGGTGGCATTCAGCGCATGACCTTGCGGGGCCACTCGGGTCCGGTGCCCCGGATAGCAATTGCCCCTAACTGCTGCGAGGTGGTCACCATATCCGAGGACGGCTCGGCACAGGTAGTGAGGAAGGGGGCGAGGGGGTAGCCGGAGGTAGAGGCAGAGGCCCCGGCTCCGTATGAAGTGTGTGTGTGTGTGCAGTGGGGGAGGGGAGGGTAGAGTAGTGCGGGGTGTGTTAGGATTGCGAGGTACACAGAGCCCAGTGGTGAGTGGGGGGTTGAGGCTGCTGTTTGCCTTTTTTTGCCGTGGGGGACTTACCAGGATGGGGTCGGGTCGGGGGCCCCGCCATTGCCTCCATTACGGCTTTGCTCGTATTCTTGTTGTTGTATACACCACTGAAACTACGGTCCTCCACGCCCCCACCTCCAACAAACCACCCATAAACCCGCCCAACGCTGTTCCCCGTCCGCACTTAGCACCGCACTGCGACTGTCCACCGCTGCATGCGACCACATGGTCTCCCATCTCGCATTTTGAATCCCCCGGTCCCCCGCCTTCCCTGGCTGCTGGTCCCTAGGTCTGGGACATGAACATCGGTGACTGTGTGATGCACCTGGCTCGGGGCGCGCCCCTCACCGCGGTGGGTATCACCCCGGACAGCTCGGCGGCGGTGGTGGCGGCGGCGGACGGAACTGCGGCGCTGTGGAGCCTCACTACCGGCCAGGTCACACACAACTTCAAGGGACATACGGGCAGGTAGGAGAGGAGGGGCCGAGGAAGGGACGAGTATGAACGGGACGCAGGGCGAGCGCTTCCCCTCTTCCCCCCTCCTCGTCCTCCAGCAGCAGCAGCAGCTTCACTCGCTTGTGGTTCGTCTTTTCCCCCCTCCTCCTCCGAGCCCTTCTCCTCCTAGTGCTGCTTGGTGGGGCTCTCCGTATGTTGCTTTGCCGTTAGGATGCCGTTCGGCGGCGGTTTCTTTTTGCTGTTTATGGAGGGGAAGAAGAACCCCACCTGTTTAGAGGGAGCCCCCTAGAGCCCCTGGCTGGCTGTCCCACCTCGCCCGCTCTGGCACCCGCCCGCGCACCTCCCTCACCCCTCTCTCTCCGCATCGTCCGTTTCCCTCCGCCATTTTCGCGTTGGGGCTGTGTGTCGGGGCCGTGATTCCCTTCACCTTGACCTTGCGTTCGTACAATTACCCTGCCGACCCCTTATCCCCCCGAATAGGCTCCTTGCTTTTTGCATATATAGGGTTAAGACGTCGACAGGTGGTTATTTTTACATTTTTCTGCAAACGATTTTCCTAATCCTCATCCCCTGCCCCTTCCCCGGCCCCTCCCCCAGGATCAACTGTCTCGCCATAGACAAGCAAGGCATCCGGGTGGTGACCGGCTCCGAGGACCACACGGGCCGTGTGTGGAACCTGCACAACGGGGAGTGCGAGGCGGTGCTGCGGGGGCATGGAGGCGCTGCGGGTGAGAGGGGTGCGTGTGCGTCTTCACGGGCAGGTACCCTCCAACCATCTGGCGACCCCTCCCTTCCCCCCTGTGTGGCATAAGCCTCTCCATGTCATTTTGGGAGCTCAAACGCACCCTTGCCCCGCCCTTCCCGCATCGCGCCGCTGGATGGAAGTTAGACTGATTCAATTTTTCAGAGCGTTGTGGATTTGGAAAACTCCTCACCACACAACACAACACCCTTCCCCCACCCCGCCCCTCCGCAGGTCTCGTGGGAAGTGTGTTGGACGTGTGTGTTTGCTCGGACGGCACGTTGGCGGCGACCGTGTCTGACGACTTTTCTTGCCGCGTGTGGGACCTGGACGAGGACGGCGAGCAGCTGCACCTGCTGGAGGGCCACGGCGGCTGGGTTACCTCGGCGGCCTTTGTGGGCACCACCCACCGCCTGGTGACAGCGTCGCATGTGAGTAGTGGGGACGAGGAGACCCGGGGACCGGTTCTCAGAGGGAGGGGGAGGGGCTAGGGATCTCGCAGCAGCCCGCGGCACACCCGACCTGCTCTGGAGTACTCCACCGCGAAGTGTGGTGTGCTTCATTGTGATGGATGTCTCTCTTCATGTGATGATACAGGTCAACGGGACGAAGTCGTGTACGGTTAACTGTCGTGTACGACCGCCTCCTCCGCAGCTGTTCCTCTCAATTTTCCTCCACTTTGAATTACCTTCTTTTGATCCCAATTCCCCTTTCCATCCCCACCCACCTCTCCGTGGCCAGGACGCCACCGCCCGGTTGTGGGACGCCCTTCGCGGCCGCTGTCTGTTTGTTCTCAGCGGCCACAGCGGCCGGCTCAACCGCGTGTCTGTGGACCCGGGGGGCTCCTGGGCCATAACCGCCAGTGACGATCACACGGCCCGAGTGTGGGACTGCGAGACGGGGGAACTGAAACTGGTGGGTGGGTGGGTGGGTGGGGTTGCGAAAGGTGGGAGGGAGAGGACGATGGCAGGAAGGTGGCCATGGAGGGCTGTCGTGTATTTATTGATACGTTGTTCTTGCTCTTGAGTGTCCTTTGAGTGTCCTTTTCCGTGTCATTGCCAACCCCGGGGCCCCTCCTTCGTCCTGTCCCGTCTGGCCTGCCCCCGTCTCAATGAACGAAAGAACGAATGTATGATGTTGTTACAGGGTGGTATACCACCAGCTTCACCAGCGGTCCCCTTTCCCGAGGCAGTTCCCTGCTCTCCCCTGTGAGAGGGGCACCCTAATCCGTTCACCCCATCCGACTTCAGAATGTATTCGTTGGGTTCAGCAACTCAACACCAGCATCAATCTAGCGGATCAACGGCGCCACAACTTAGTTCCTGGTCAGCTCGCAAATTGCTATAATCACGTCCTACACCGTCCACAAGATAGGGGGCCACCTCCCAAGTCAACATCCCTCACACACCGAGGGGTCGGCAGGCGGATTTGAACCCGGGATCTCCGGGAGCAGAAGTCAGGCCTTAACTTCTGCCAGCCACCTGCCTGAATGTATGTAAATTCCTCCCCGCTCCCCCTCTCTCTCTCTCTCTCTCTCTGTCCCCCCCTGCTTCTGCGGCCACACCTACGGCCCCCAGGTGCTGGAGGGTCACAGCGCCCATGTGACAGACGCCGCCATCACCCGGGACGGCCGCAAGGCAATAACGGTGTCGGGTGAGGGAACGGGAGGGGAGGGGGAAGAAGGGAGGAAGGGAGGGAGGGTGTACGTTACCAGGAACAGCTTCTTGCGACGTTGCTGCTCCCCACTGCTCATCATGTTGGACAGGCTCCCAGGGGAGACTGCTGCGGCCCCAGCACTAACGCCCCAACTAGCGCATGACGGCACACCCTGTGACACTCTCACGCGATCAACCCCGTCAATCGTCCGCTCTCCCTCCGCAGCTCGCGGGTTCACAATCGAACCCTGGGTTACCCAAGAACTAGCACGCACAGACACACACTCCCAATACACACACAGACACTCTCTCAACACACACACACTCTCTCTCAACACACGCACACACACACACACACACACCTATCACGTCTTATGTTCCCCTATATTTCCCCCGTCCCCCCCGTGTTCAGGTGACGGCACATGCGCCATGTGGGACATGGCAAGTGGGGAGCGGGAGGCGCTGTTGGAGGGGCACACGGGGGAGGTGGCGGCGGTGGTGCTGACGCAGAGGGGCAGGTTCGCCGTGACGGCCGGGGAGGACTGTACGGCACGTGTTTGGGACCTGGCGGCGGCGGCGGAGCGGCCGGCCCCGGCTCCGACTCACGGCGGCAAGGTGTCGGCGCTGCAGTCCCTGCCTGACGGGCAGCTGGTGGTTTCGGCGGGGGACGACGGTCGTGTGTTTCTGTGGGACCCAGTGGAGGTGCGTGTGCGTGTGTGTTTTTGTGTGTTGTGGGAAAGGGCCGGGGGGAGAGAGGGGAGTCAGGGTCAGGGTGCGTTTTGCGTTTGATTCCCTGTGGGGGCCGTTGTAAGCAATGGGTGATAAATAGTGGGAACTGGGTCTCTCAGCCGCACCTGAAACCCACATGGCCTAGGCCCTTCGCTGCACGCATGTCATTAGTTCCTCCTTTCCTCCGGGGGTGGGGGAACTGCGGCCACCACGCTGTGGACATGCGGACATGCGGACTAGGCTAAACCAATGTTTTGGTTTCAATATGGAAAGGTTTCTTGAATTCCTCGCCCCTCCACCCATTGGTGGGGTGGGCCAGGGGGGTTTGGGCCTGCAGCCGGTCCTTTCTTGCTCCTGCACCCTCATATGTGGTTCCGTTCCGCTCTCCTCCCGCATGAATCCTCCCCACCCCACCGCTATCCCCCTCTTCCAGGGCGTGTGTTTGAAACAGCTGGATGGTCACCGAGTGGGTGTTCGCTTCATGCGGGTGTCAGTGGATGGAGACTGTGTGCTCACAGGGAGCGGGGACAGACAGGTACGATGGTATCCAAGAGGTGTACGACAGATGTGCCGTACGTCCTATATGCCGGGGCTTAGGAAACCGGGGTGGTGGCGATGGTGACCCCGTCCATCCTTGTTGGCGTCCTCGCTTTTTTTTCGCTCTTTCCCCCTTCCCCTTCCTCCCTCTCCCTCCTCTTCGAAACCGCCGACTGGTCAGTCCTGCTACCGTCCTGTACATCTGCCGCACCACGGTATCCTTGGCAGCAGCTTCACTCGCTCGTGGTTCGTCTTTTCCCCCCCTTCCCTCCCCCCTGTCCCCCGGTTCCTCTGCTTCACCCGCTCTGGCTTTGGCGGGTGCTGGGCGGACGGGATGAACCGCTTCCCCCTTCACTGTACACCGCACTGTGGCCTGCCTCGGTCCTTACACTTGGGGCGCAGTCCCCGCTTTTGACCTACACTGCCATCGCCCTTCCCGCTGCTCTTTCCCCCCTCTCCCCTTCTCGGTCTCCTTCCTTTCGCCCCCGCCCCCTCTACTGGCACCCTATGATTCCCACGTACCCCGGCCACCACACACCACATCCTCTGCGCTCATCCTTATTCCTTCTGCTATAGCATATTATTATTATGCACCCCTTTCCCCTCCGACCCTTTAGTTATGCCTCCTTTATATCTGGCGCATCACTCTTTCCGTGGCATCAGCTTCACTCGCTCGTGGTTCGTCTTTCCCTCCCCCCCCCCTTTCCCCCCTCCCCCCCCTCTTCACCCACCTACTCCAGATCAACCAATGGAACTGGTCCGAGTACTCTGCGGCCGCCCAGGAGGTGGGCCTCCGCCGCTCCCTGGAGCGTAGGGAGGTCATGTTGGCCACCCTCACAACAGCTGGCGGCAGCACCGGACGAGCAACCAGCTCCGTAGCCTACGAACTGGGCACGGGGGGAACCGCCGTCAGTGCAGCCGCTAATGGCGGCGGCGGCAGCCCTTGCGGCACATCCAACCGCAGCAGTGAAGAGGACCCAATGGCGGCCTTGGCGGCGCTAAAGCCGCCGGACGCCGGCGGCCTGGCCGCTGGGGGAGCCGGGGGCAGCGGCGGCGGAGCCGCCGCCTCCTTACCGGCCCCGAAGATCGCGGCGAAGTCCGCTCAGCCGCCGTCGGCCTTGCCGCACCACCTGCTTAGCTCTGCCGCTGGCAGTATCAGTCCGCGTCATCCTCCGCAGGCGCCGTCGCCGGGCAGTGGCGTGAAGCCTTGCAAGAGCCTTCTAGATATGGTTTCGACGCTGCAGCGGGATCCCTTGCGGGCCAGCATGCCGGCCCAGCAGGGCAGCCGTGTGAAGCACATGGCTTTTGATGGTTCCTGCCGTACCGCTGCCGTACTGTTGTTTGACAGTACGGTGAGCATATGGGACGTGACATCGGGCCGGTGTATTGCGCAGCTGATTCGGCGTGGCGAGCGCGATGCAACTCGGACTCATTCTGGCGGCGTCAATGCGGTTTACCTGGCTCGCGATGGCTTGACAGCTATCACCATCAGCAAGGACAACACGGCCCGAGTGTGGGATGTGGCCACAGGTGCGTACGGGGATGTGTGCGACAGTCTTGTCGTACCTTGTTACATAGAGAGTATTGTTATTACATGTTGAAAGATGCATAGAGGGGCGTTAAGTTGAGGAGGATGAGTGGAGGAATGTGGGGGCGGGAGATCTTGACGGGTTTTGGAGACCTTGTTAATTAGGTTAAAATTTCTAACTCACCGGGGCATGTGTCGTACTTCCCCCCCACGTCGTGCTGATTTTCATGGCCTGTATGTAGTACGGGCGCTCTACTAGCAACCCACATCCTGCATTACCTCCGCACTTGGCCTAGAACAGCTGTCAAAGGTGTCACATTCGTTCACATTTTTCCAGCTAAGCCCATTGCTGCATTACCCTCCCCCTCTTCCTCCTTCCCCCCCTCTAATCGTCTCTGCTTCCACGTCCACTCCCCACCCTCTCCTCACCGTGCAGCAAGCACTCGCTTTGTGGTTGAGGGTCATACAGACGGCCTGGTGGCTGCTGACATTTCGGGTGACGAACAACTGCTAGCTACGGCCGCGTACGACAAGACAGTACGAGTGACGCGATTGACCCATGGGTCTCCCGTGGCGGTCCTGGACCATCCTCAGCCTCCCATTACCGTCAGCTTCAGTCCCAACAGTCGCTGGATGGCGGTGGGCCTCGAGGACCATACCGTGGTAGGTGGTAGTACCGTGGAGTGGGCCATTGGACAGTGAATTCGCGAGTGGCGGTAGGATCGAACCGGGGACGCGACGACGGGTTTGGGAGCCTTCTCGTTCACCGGAGAGGAATGTCGTTGTTTATACGTCTTTCTTTTCCCTCTTTAAAGGCAACCCTTCGTGCAACAAAGCCGCTGGCGCTGGGGAGGTGTTCGGAGGTGCTGCGGCGGCCGGCCCCCCCAACCCATAAATTTACAAGATACCTGCCGTACACACACCCACACCCCCTTCCTTCCGTACATTCACTCAGGCAGCCGCTGCATGTCACGTGGGTAATGGTCTTTTCCTCCAGCCTTCCTATCCGCTACCCCTGTTATGACTCCCCTCTATGAACAACCCCCGCACCTCCGCACCCACGCAGGTGGTATGGGACCTGGTTCAGCGCTGCTGCCTGCCCTCCCTGGACGCGCACAAGGCCCCGCTGGCGGTCCTCACCTGGTCCCCGGACAGCCGCTTCCTGCTGACTGCGGGCCAGGACTGCACGGTGCGGCTGTGGAGGAGCGAGGACGGCCGCCAGCAGGCGTTCTTCATGGGGGACGCGGCCATCACCACGGCCTGCTTCGCTGGTGCGTCCGTCCGTCCTCGGCGATTGGGGGGTTGCGGCGGGGGAGTTAGCTTCAGTTATTCGTTGGATTTAGAGGTTTGGCGATGATGCCCCGTGGCAGAAGGGAGGGACGGTAGAGGCAAATACACCAAACATAAAGTATTTATCATGAATAAAAGCCTGTCAAAAGTATGAAATCCAGGATACTAGTCCCGTCGTTGCTTTTAGAATTTACATCTATGAACTGTTCCGCCTGCCATTGAGCTATTACGGCACAATACATATTCATAAAAGGCACCAGGGTCCTGCGATTGTAATAGACTTTTGTTGCCAGAGAATATTTTCTAGAGTTAGCACGGTATAGTTCAAAACACGTAATCCTTTTTTACTAAGGTCTCAGATAATTAATTTTTCTTCAGAGATTTGGTGTTTTTCCCATAGTTGGTCTATTTTTCTTATTTTTTGTTGAAGACTCTCTTAACATACTAATAGGCTTGAACACCCCTTGTTTTTTTATGACGTTTGTCCGAAGTTAAAAAAAGACGAATATCATTCGTTTATTGTAAGAAGACATACTATAAATTTTTATGTAATCTCTATAATGAGATAATAAGAGAGCTTCAAGATACACATACACACGCGCGTAGTCGATTGCGAAGAGGAGGGGCTTTGGCGGTCTTTTCACCCTTACATCGACCAGCTCCCTCACCTTGTAAGAGAAATAGCTCCACTCGAACAGATACTTGAAGGAATATAACCACCACAACCGTTACCACACCATAATCTGTGTGACCGTATAGCATCTGATACCGCCCTCCCCTTTCTCATCACCCTCATCCACACGCGCCCTGCCACCTCCTTACCAACTCCGTATCAGGCCACCCCAAACCCGACATAGTGGTGGCGGGTGACGCTGCCGGTACCGTACACTTTCTGGACTTTGCTGAGGAGCTTCAGGGCTGGTCCACATGATCAACCAACCAACTAACCAACCAACCGTGAAGCAATTACCGGCAACCGCCCAACGACCAATGAAACGATTAGCTGAAAACTTTAGGCATACCCGCATGCCGTGATGCGCTTGGTTTATGCAGTTTGGACTTTTAGGCGGCATGGGATTGGTATCGATCGGTCCCTTTAGGATGCTCCAGGCGGTTGGTGTAGGGTTTTAGGTTTTTTCCGCGCCAAGACGCTGTAGGGTGGAGGTGGAGGTCTACTGCCTGTCCTGGAGCATCCGGAGTGGGGGGAATGGAGGAATGGGGGCTGGTGAGGGAGGCGGGGCGGGGAGATTACAGGGGGGCGAGGGTTTTATTCCCCGTCGCTTTGTGCGCTTGAATTGAATTGTGGGTTGTGGAGTAGTAGGGCAGGCGGAGGCCTAAGGCTGGGGGGGCAAGGGGGGGGGAGGGTAAACAACTGTACATTAAAAGCATTATGAGTTATGTGCCATTTTCTGTGTGTGGCGGTAGAGCCCTCCTACTGCTCGACGGGAAGTGCGCCGCGACCTTGCCCGCTGGCCTGAGTGTGATTTCAATCTCCCCGTCCTCCTCCCCGTCCTCCGGACCTTCGTGTGCTAATTAACGGAACAGAACTCAACTGCCATCAATTCGACTGTGCGCCGCATATGGTCCGTTTGCTGCAAGAGCGAGAGGGGGAGAGGGCTGGGCGCGCGTGTATTGCTGCGAAGAGCTGCACGTCAGTTTGTCTGTGCGCCTGTCTGTCTGTCTATCCGTGGACCTGGCGGCACAGTATGACAAGTGCAAAGTGGAAGAAAGGAGCGGCGGGGATGGTGTAAATGAGATTAGTACCACGGCACGGGGACACAGAACGGCGACCGGTCGTTGTTTGTGTCCGCTGTGGAGTTGACTTCCCTCCCTCCACGCGGGGGTGAGCTGTTTGGCGGTTGGATGAGGCCCGTAGTGCGGTGGGTGGTCCGCAGCCGCAAATCAGCTGCAGCAGATGCAGCTGGAGTGACGGCTAGGGGGGCGTTGTTGCGTCGGGGATAGGTTGGCGATGATGGGGGGAGGAAACGCCAAGATGGTATGGGACGAAAGGTTGTGAGAGCAAGATGGAAAGGCCAGGTGGGGAGGGGGGACTGTTTGGAGCAGTTAATGAATTGAGTCGGCTTGGGAGGGGTTAGCGCCACTGCGCAGCTGGGTTGTCCCACATGAGGGGGGAGGCCGCGGGGTTTGGGATCCATGTCGGTCGGTCGGTGTGTCGGTGGGGGGTTTTGCAGGTGGGATCCTTCCCTCCCTTGAGGAGAGAGCGCGCACAGGTGCCGCCTGGGCCCGCGCCAGGCTTCCCCTCTGCAAGAAGGCGAAAGGCTGCTTTGACGGATGATAGTTTAGTGGTTTGGGTTCAGGTGCCTCGCCGTATCGTTTTTTTCTTGTTCTTTTATGCCGAGCTCTTTATTCACTCCTCGCATCTCGCACACTTAGGTTAGTATTGGCGGTAGTATTCACACAATATTAATAATAATGATGATAGTAATAATAATAATAATAATAATAATAATGATAATAACAATAATAATCTGCAGTGCGATTTGCCTTGCTATCGAGTTATCGCATCATACGGCTCGTTCCTAGTGCGCGCAATTTGCAGCAATTCGCCTCTTTGCTGATGCAAAATAAAAAAAGTTAGCCACAAGGAGGGATTCGTCAGCATTGGCGTGTCAGCAATAATTGATGTAGGATGAGGAAGGGGTGTGGCGGGGGCCATGGGAGGTGTGTCCTATACAGGCAATACAGGCAATAATGCGACATGAGAAATGCGCAGATGAAGGATTGGGGGAAAGGGGCAGTCGGAGCAGCATTCGCCACCTTACGAGAGGAGAGGAGTCATGGGGCACTGAATGTGTCGGGTTAGGATTCGGCGATTTGTAGTTCGAGGCTGTCACAAGGGGGAGGGGATGGTAGGAGGAGGTCCCGGTGTTTCGGCTGCGGTGCATAGTTGGGTTGTGCTGGCAGTTCTTGGCAGTTGAAAGATGCGGCGGGAAAAGAGGGCGCAAGGATGGGGTAGTGGTGGCGGCGCTGGTGGGGTGTACTTGGAAATGGGAGCCGAAAATCACGAAAATGGCCAGTATGGAGGCAGAGGGGGAAAAAAGGCGATAAGACCTTTTTTTAGGAGGCGGCGGCAGTGGCGGTGGACGCGGCGGCGGCGGGGAAGAGATTACGATGTACATGGCCGCGGAGGTGAGGTCGAAACTGGCTACTCACCCAGTCACCCTGCCTGCTACGCTCTTGCCTCTAATAATGTCAAAGATTATGCTGATGCTAATGCCGCGTGACGGTGTAGATGATGCTAATGACAATGACAACGATGATGATAATCACGATGGTGATGATGATGATGATGATGATGATGATGATGATGATGATGATGATGATGATGATGATGATGATGATGATGATGATGATAATGATGATGACAATGATGAGTGTTGCGATTGATAATGCGAGACGACGATAGTAAGATGATTATGGTGATATGATGGGGATGCTGCTAATCATCGTAAGAATGGATCTCTACATAAATCGTAATGCCGATGACGGTGAAAAGAATAAATTGCTCCTTTGGTCGGGGTCGATACATATGCAGGTGCATCACAACCCTTTGCACTCGCCACCGTAACCACTACCACCACATCATCCACGCCTTGGTTTGGCTGTGGCTGGATACGTTGGGTTGTGTCGTACATTTGGAGGTGTCGAGCTTAATAGTAATAATCCATAACGCGTTCTGTATGCATGTATGTATGGATGGACGTATGGATGGATGTATGGATGGACGTATGGATGGATGTATGGATGGACGTATGGATGGATGTATGGACGTATGTATGTATGTATGACGGTGCAGTGGGCGAAAGACGACGGCGCGGGGTGTTGGGTGCTGTGGGTGCCGCCACCCGCACTTCTTGGCGCGACGCCTTTTCGACTCATGTGGGTGTTTAACGGAGCGCGCTCCGTTGGACAATGGATGGCTCCAGGGTGGGTGAAGGGGGCCCATCATAAAGTGAAGCGTGGAGAATCCAAATAAATATTTTGCTTTTTTCCCTTTTTTGCTCGTCTGGTGGTGTTTGGCCATGTGGTGTTTGTTTTACGCTGCTCTTGTGTCGAAAATCCTTCGCCACGCCGCGGCCGCCGGATTATCTGTCCATCCGTCCATCTAATATCTATCTGTCTATATATATCGACTATATCGCCTACCATGTCACCTATTTAGGATTCAATAAGCGTTATGAGAGGAAGCTATCGCGGGAGACGCGGACGGGCACTCAGCGAAAAAAACACCTGCCTGGCTTGAGGAACTTGTTTCGGACCAGCTCCAAAAATAATTGGGATAACACAAGTTCCTCGTATCACCTCGTATGTGTGTTTGTTAGTGTAAGGAATGGCTGGTGGTGGATGTGGTGGCGTGTGCTTGTGGGTATGTATGTACGTGCAGATCTAGCTCGTGTTAGTTGCCATGTCGATGTGTGTTTTGCCTTCACCTGCTCCTCTCCTCGTTCGTGAAATGTGGGTCGTTCACACCACTAGGGGGCCTTCAAGAGGTGGTCGAGGAGGGGGGGGCACAGGGAAGCTGTAGTGTGGATACATGTTCTGTATGGGGGAGGGAAGCTGGAGTTGCGGAGGGAGGTTTGGTGGTTACGGTGCTACGATGCTAAACACCGGAACACGCAGGGCTGGAGATGCTGATGCTGTGGCAGTGGGGCCTCCGTACTTTGGAATGTACTTGCGAAAAGCTCCGGACGGGGCTGCGGCGGCTGGGTTGCGGTGTACGAGGTGCTGACGTGCGACGTGAAATGGAGACTAAGTGCGATACGTGGATGCCACGTTAATGGATGCAAAAGAACTAGTTTTAGGTGAAAACCGTGCATTCTTTGCGGGAAATGGCAAGAAGACACCTTTGGCGGGAAAAATACTGCTGTGTTGTACTGTACTGCACTGCACTGTACTGTGAGAGAAGCGCTGTGAAGCCGTCGTTCGACCGACCAACTGTCCGTCGCCTGCCGCCCTCTCCCCTCCGACCGTAGCGTAGCTCGGTTGTCCGTCTGCGTGTGTGTGTGTGTGTGTGTGTGTATGGCCGCTTGGTGGGGCCCCACGGCAGCGGAGGGGGAGGCTGGTGAGGAAGGAGGGGAGGTGGTGAAGAAGGCGAAGGTGAAAGCTGTGTGGAGGTGGAGCGAGGGAAATGGGGGATGGCGATGTAGAGGATGGGGGAGGGTAGCGAGGATGAAAAGAGGAGGTGGGAGATGGAGGGAATGTAGGCGCTCGCCCCGATGTGTTGTTTATAGGTGTGCCCTCGCCCTCCTGGCGGTTCGTCTTCTCACCCCTCCCCGTCGGGTTTCCGTCGCTTTCTTCCTTTCCTGAGGTGAAGTGAAGTGAAGTGGAAGTGCGGGTTGCTGGGGGAGAGAGGCAAGGAGGTGGGGTTCGAGGGAGGGCTTAGCACCCGCCGGGTGTTTTGGAAATGGTACGTGCCCGTTGGGGTGGTTGTAGTGATGGCGGTCAAGGATGAGCAGGAGACAGGGAGGGGGGATCCGAGACGGGGAGGGAGGAACCACCCTCCAGCGCTGTTTTCCTGCAGTGTGAAGTAGCATTTGTTACGTTATGGCAGTTAATGGTTTTCCTCTGGCTCCGTTGGCACAACTTGGAACAACTTTCTGCATGTATTATGTGAACATGAGCAACACTGCATCATCACTTCAGTGACTCGATTGTGCTCCAAGCCGCCAAAGTGCGGCTCATTCGGGCTCGTTTCAGCGCCCTTTTTCGAGACGCTGTACCGTCTCCCCTGGCGATAACGGCCACCTAGTTACTGTAGTATTACATGTACGATGCATGCACGTGCGACCGGCAGCAGCATGCGCCTCTTTCTCTATATACATGAGAGTGTGTGTATGTGTGATTGCTCAAGGAAGGGCCGGCGGTGTGTGTGTCATCATGGTAACCCGGTTTGCTACCGGCGGTTGCTCT